AGAAGAAAAGAGTCTTGATCAAGAAGACTCCATGCATCCTGACATGCAAGGTAACAGTGCCTTCTGCCGAACAACTCCATTGTTTTTTTGTGAATCCATGTTCTGCACTGAGAAGTCAGGACCGGGTCAGACCGCAGCAATATAAATTGCATGTGGTCCTCCGAGTTTTAGTGATGTTATATACTGACTCTACGCGCCCAGGTCCCTTCAAGACCCCTTGAAGGGTACCTTCGAAGGGGGGTGCTCGGAACCAGCCCCAAAGAAAGTCAAGGAGATGGAAACTTGAGCACGCATGACGGCCAGCACGGGGTGACAGGATAGGATGGCAGAACGTGCACAGGTGAGTCGGACATAAGCCACTGAACCATGAAGGCAGAAAGATTGGAGTCATCTCCATGTTTCATGGGAAGGGGTGGGGGCTGAAGGTTTGAAGGCTTGAAGCCCCTTTCAAGCCCCCTTCAAGCCCCCTTCGTGGATTAAAAGCAGAGGTGGGAAGAGTCAGAGAAGAGAAGAGAAGAAGAAAGAAATCACAAAAAGAGAAAGTTTCAGAAGAAAGAAGATCCAGGTGTGCCAAAAGGTAGGAAAGTCGCGAAACACGGTGCTTGTCCAATGATTTGTGGCTCCGGAGGGTCGAAAAGTAGGCTTGCTAAAGCGGCGGGTGCGGAGCCCGCTGGGCAGATGAGAGATGAAAAATTGCACGCCCTTGTGGCGCGAAGCACATTTGCAAGTGAAAAAGCTAAAAGCACCTCACGTTCGGAGCACTTTTGGAAGTTGAGATGTCGAAAAAGTGCACGCCCTTGTGGCGCGAAGCAAATTTCGAAGTCAAAATGTACAAAGCACACCAGTGTCGGACCACTTTTGGAAGTTGAGATGTCGAAAAAATGCACGCCGTTGTGGCGCGAAGCAAATTTCGAAGCCAAAATGTGCAAAACACACCATGCTCGCACCACTTTTGGAAGTTGAGATGTCGAAAAATTGCACGCCCTTGTGGCGCGAAGCACATTTGCAAGTGAAAAAGCTAAAAGCACCTCACGTTCGGAGCACTTTTGGAAGTTGAGATGTCGAAAAAGTGCACGCCCTTGTGGCGCGAAGCAAATTTCGAAGTCAAAATGTACAAAGCAGACCATGTTCGGACCACTTTTGGAAGTTGAGATGTCGAAAAAATGCACGCCGTTGTGGCGCGAAGCAAATTTCGAAGCCAAAATGTGCAAAACACACCATGCTCGCACCACTTTTGGAAGTTGAGATGTCGAAAAAGTGCACGCCGTTGTGGCGCGAAGCACATTTCCAAGTCAAAATGCACCAAGCACACCAGTGTCGGACCACTTTTGGAAGTTGAGATGTCGAAAAAGTGCACGCCGTTGTGGCGCGAAGCAAATTTCGAAGCCAAAATGTACAAAGCACACCATGCTCGAACCACTTTTGGAAGTTGAGATGTCGAAAAAGTGCACGCCGTTGTGGCGCGAAGCACATGTCGAAGTCAAAATGCACAGAACACACCAGGTTCGGACCACTTTTGGATGGGACATTTGAAGAGGATCTGGCAGGATGCATTTTCCGTGGCAGGCGCAGTACAAGAGACATGTTCATCAGAGCTGTTAGGAGGTCCGGGCGCTGATTTCCTGAGAGAGGTTGCATTTTGAAGCATCAAATCTTTAGGTTTTGCTGAGATGATTTTGCGTGACAGGTGCAGCACTTCGTATGACCTACCCTACACTACACTACACTACACTACGCTACGCTACGCTACACTACGCTACGCTACCCTACACTACGCTACACTACACTACACTACACTACAATACACTACACTACACTACACTACACGACACGACACGACACGACACGACACTACACGACACGACACTACACTACACTACACTACACTCCACTCACTACACTACACTAGACTAGACTAGACTACACTACACTACAGTAGACTACACTACACACACAACACACAACACACACACAACACTACACTACACTACGCTACGCTACGCTACACTACACTACACTACGCTACGCTACACTACACCACACCACACCACACCACACCACACCACGACACACTACACTACACTCAATTACACTACACTACACTACCCTACATCACATTACATTTACATTACATTACATTTACATTACATTACATTACATTTACATTTACATTTCATTAGATTACATTACATTACATTACCTACACCCATTACACCACCACAAATGCAACTGCAACTACACTACACAATTACATTACACCACAAGTACAACTCCACTACACTACAACTACAACTACAGCTGCGTTACACCACACTACATCCAGCAGTTGTGGGTGAGGTGACCGCCCAGGTGACCACTGCAACCATTGCAACCAGTCCAAAAAACACAGCCCCAGGCACCTTTCGGTCCATCAGTGGATTCGCTCTGCGATCCGTGATTCACAACAACCAACCTCTCCTAGAGGTTTCCATTTTTTGAAACTTCCGCCACCGCCTTGTGCGGTACTACTGGAATCTATCTATTTATCTATCTATTGACCTATCTATTTAACCTATCTATGCAATCTATCTATATTATTTAGTCGATCTATTTAATCTCTGCATTTAAACTGTCTATTTAATTCTACTTCATCGCTCTATTGAACCCGTTTGTTTAAATCCATTTGTCATGTTTAGTCTATCTTTTCAATCTATCTATTGAATCTATCTGTTTAAGCTATCTATTTAATCTATTTGATCTATCTATTTAATCTATGTATTTAACTTAATCTAACCTAATTTAATCTCATCTAACCTAACCTAATCTAACCTAACCGAATCTAATTTGTCTATCAATCTATCAATCCATCAATCTATCTAATCTATCTGACCTAGCAATTTACCAATTTATCAATCTATCAATCTAAAAATTTGCCAGCCAAAGAATCTATCAAACAAACAATCTTCTCCCAAACAATATATCTAAAGATGCACACCTTGTATCCCTACATGTACCTTAATCTGGCCCCCAACCGGACTTTAAATCGACCATAGGCCAACCCTAGATAACCATAAATAACCCTAGATAACCCTAAACCAACCATAAACCAACCCAACATAACCCTCCCTAAATAAACCCTAAACTAACCTTAAACAAAACCCTAAACCTACCCTAAATAACCCCAAATAAACTTAAAAAAACATGAATAAACCGTAAACCAACCCTAAATAAACCCTAACCCAACCCTAAATAAACCCTAAACCAACCCTAAACCAAACCTAAATAAACCCTAAACCAACCGTAAATAAACGCCAGGCCACCCCAAATAAACACTAAACCAAACCTAAACATAACCTAAATGACCCTAAACCAACCAGAAACCAACTCTAAATAAACCCTACACCAACCCTAAATATATCTAAACCAACCCTAAATAGCCCTGAATAAACCCTAAACCAACCGTAAATAAACCCTAACCCAACCCTAAATAAACCCTAAATAAACCCTAAACCAACCCTAAGTAACCTTAAATAAACCCTAAACCAACCGTAAATAAACCCTAACCCAACCCTAAATAAACCCTAAACCAACCCTAAATAACCCTAAATAAACCTTAAACCAACCGTAAATAAACCCGAAACGAACCCTAAAATAACCCTAAATAAACCCTAAACCAACCCTAAATAAACCCTAGACCAACCCTAAATAAACCCTAAACCAACCCTAAATAAACCCTAAACCAACCCTAAACCAACCCTAAATAAACCCTAAAAAATTCAGCAAAGTACAGGTGTCTGCCCCAAAATGTAGCAAATAGCAAGGAAAAGTGCCCCAGACTGAAAAACAAAAAAACCTTCCCAAAAAAAACAAAAAAATCTGCACCCTTAAATACAACCTATTTTAAACGAACACAATGATCACATCCAATGAACCTATTTGCACCCAAGACGACTGTGTTTCAACCTAGATTCCACATATACGCAATCAGCACCATGTTTAACCTACAACATTACATTTGAAAAAAATTATTGTAATTTTGTTTTTGCGCACCATTTTTTTGGATCAAAATTGACATAAGTAATGTAATCATATCGTACATATTTATTCATTACCTTGTTTTTTTAATGTATCTATTTGACATCATCTCTCATCTCTTGCGCGGTTTTGATTGATTGTCTTTGCAATTGGCGTGCATCTCACGATGTTATTTTCAATTTTTTAACAAAACCAATCAACAACATGAAACTTTCAAGTGCCAAAATGCTGCGCAAATTTTTGTTTCCAACTTCCAACAAACAGAACAAACAAAAAAATTGGCCCACCCCCGTGCAACGAACAACACAACAACAATAATAGTCACAACAATCAGAACACTGACAACAAACATGTAGCAATAAAATAACATGCTAAATGGCAGTTTGAAGTACCAACATGGAGCAAAAACCATGCAACATGAAAGGTTCAAGTATCAAAACGTAGCAAATACCAGGCTTTTTCCCTGAGCGAATACCATGTACCATGAACGTTTGAAGTACCAAAAGGTAACAAATACTATACAAAATGGGAGGTTGAAATGTCAAACATGTAGCAAATACCGTGCAAAATGGAAGGTGAACATGCCAAAATGTAGCAAATACCATGCAAAATGCCAGGTTCTAGTTCCCAATTGCTGCAAATACATGGCAAATGGCACCAGGAAACATATCCCCCAAAAAAAACATTTTTCACCCTATTTCAAACATTGACCTCGGACAGCAAAGTATGTGCAAATTTCGCGCCGTTCCGTGTAAACATTTCTAGATTAAAACATGTATTGGAAACAACTTGGGAACTAAATTCCATGTCGACAAATTCTTTCCATTCCAATTTCAAAAAATTCAGCACCGGTTTTCACTCAATGAGCCACAACATTTCATTATTTCATTAATTCCTGCAGGTAGATGCGGCAAAAATGACCAAAACCAGGATGTTGACATTGGATCGCACACGTGTGTTCGTCCAAATTTTCTTCATCACCCGTCAGTTTCGAGGTTCGCAGCTTTGCCACAAGAGTTATTGAATTATTGCATTCTTTCGAACTGTACTTGCCATGTCTGGCGGTTATTCAGCCACCGTTCCAGCCACTATGAAGGCGGCTGTGGTCGAAGAGTTTGGAAAACCGTTGGTGATCAAGTCGGTTCCAGTTCCAGAACCCGGACATGGAGAAGTCTTGGTGAAGGTCATTGCATCAGGAGATGCCTTGAACACTTGTGGAACAAACTAGAATAACTAACCAGATGCATAATACATGATATAACATATATGTTTTAGTTTTGTTTGGGCCATTTCCAATCCACCACCCCACATTCACTATTGTCCACAGACCTCAGGAGTTTGTCATACGGATTTGCATGTCAGAGACGGTGATTGGCATGTGAAACCAAAGTTGCCCATCATTCCGGGGCATGAAGGTGCAGGCGCGACGCAAAACCAGAAACTTTGCAAATGGGGCAATTCCTGTAAAATGATGGAGCAAAATTGTATTTTTTGGTTAGTTTTCGGCCAGTCTTGAAGGTCTCGCGTTTTGTTTGTTGTTTGTATTTGTCATGGGTATTTATTTAGTTTTGCTATGTTTTGTTTTGTTTTATGTTCGTTATCGTTCTTATATTTATATATTCTATATATTCTATTTATTCTATTCATTCTATTGGTTCTATTCATTCTATTGATTCTATTCATTCTACTGATTCTATTCATTCTACTGATTCTATTCATTCTATTGATTCTATTCATTGTATTCATTCTACTCATTCTATTGATTGTATTCATTCTATTCATTCTATTCATTCTTTTCATTCGATTCATTTTACTTTTCTATTCATTCTATTGATTCTATTCATTGTATTCATTCTATTAATTTTATTCATTCTATTGATTCTATTTTTTCTATTGATTGTATTCATTCTATTGATTCTATTCATTCTATTCATTTTATTCATTCTATTCATTCTATTCATTCTATTCATTCTATTGATTCTATTCATTCTATTCATTTTATTCATTCTATTCATTCTATTCATTCTATTCATTCTACTGATTCTATTCATTCCATTTATTCTATAGATTCATTGTATTCATTCTATTGATTCTATTCATTCTATTGATTCTATTCATTCTATTGATTGTATTCATTCTATTGATTCTATTGATTCTATTGATTCTATTCATTCTATTGATTGTATTCATTCTATTGATTGTATTCATTCTATTCATTCTATTCATTCTATTCATACTATTTATTCTATTGAAGTGCCTACGGCAAGCCCGCCGGCCATGACGTGTGCTTTTCTGTCAAGGTTCTTTGGTCTGTGTGCAAAAGGTTCTGTGTGTAAAAGCTTCGGTGTGTAAAAGCGTTTGTGTGTAAAAGCGCCTGTGTGCAAAAGCCTCTGTGAGTAAAAGCCTCTGTGTGGAAAAGCTGCGGTGTGTAAAAGCTTCTGTGTGCAAAAGGTTCTGTGTGTAGAAGCGTCTGTGTGTAAAACGTCTGTGTGTAAAAGCCTCTGTGTGTGAAAGGTTCTGTGTGTCAAAGCTTCTGTGTGTAAAAGCATCGGTGTGTCAAAGCTTCCGTGTGTAAAAGCGTCTGTGTGTAAAAGCGTCTGTGTGGAAAAGCGTCTGTGTGTAAAAGCTCCTGTGTGTAAAAGCATCGGTGTGCAAAAGCTTCCGTGTGTAAAAGCGTCTGTGTGTAAAAGCTTCTGTGTGTAAAAGCGTTTGTGTGTAAAAGCTTCTGTGTGTAAAAGCTTCTGTGTGTAAAAGCGTCTGTGTGTAAAAGCGTCTGTGTGTAAAAGCGTCTGTGTGTAAAAGCTTCTGTGTGTAAAAGCTTCTGTGTGCAAAAGCTTTTGTGTGTAAAAGCTTCTGTGTGTAAAAGTGTTTGCGCGGAAGAAAACATCAAAAATCCGTCACTCTGCTGGGGGAGAGCTTTTGGGACGGAAGCCGGGAAAGCCTCTGTGTGGAAAAGCTTTTGTGTGTAAAAACTTCTGTGTGTAAAAGCGTCTGTGTGTAAAAAACACCAAAAATCCGTCACTCTGCTGGGGGAGAGCTTTTGGGACGGAAGCCGGGAAAGCCTCTGTGTGGAAAAGCTTTTGTGTGTAAAAACTTCTGTGTGTAAAAGCGTCTGTGTGTAAAAAACACCAAAAATCCGTCACTCTGCTGGGGGAGAGCTTTTGGGACGGAAGCCGGGAAAGCCTCTGTGTGTAAAAGCGCTGTGTGTAAAACTTTTGTGCGCAAATGCTGCTGTGTGTAAAAGCGTCTGTGTGTCAACGCGTCCGTGTGTAAAAGCTTCTGTGTGTCAAAGCTTCTGACGAGTCGAAGTCGGAGTCGGTTCGGAGTAGGCGTCGTGGGAGTAGTGGGAGGTAGGAAGTAGTCAGGAGCCGTCCGGTCGGTGGTGGTGGTAGGTGGTGGGGTGGAGCGGGGGGGGGGAGGGTGGCCGGAGGGGGGCAGGGGGGAGCGGGGGAGGGGGGTGGACTCAAATCAGACGAGGCAAAGCTGCCCGCGGAGAGAACAAAGGAACAAGTACAAACCAAAAACAGAAACAAGTACAAAACAAGAACAAACAGAAGAACAACACCTCACAATCAGACACGCCGGCAGGCAGGCGGATTTATGTAATTTATTCTATTTATTTCTATTTATTCTATTTATTGCGTATATTTGTTATATTTGGTTATTTATTTATCATTTATTTTTTAATCAATTGATTAATTAGCCTACTTTTTTTTATTCATTTGTTTTTATTTACTTATGTACGTTTAAAAAAAAAAATGTTTTTATTTATTTGCGTATTTTTATTCTTAAATTCATCCATTCAGCATATTCATGTCCTTCATTTGTTGATTGTGCTTTGATTAGTTAATAAATTATTGAAACTATTTTCATGTATTTATCGTTTTGTCGATTTGTGCAATTCCTTATATATTTATTTGTATATTTGTTTATTTGTTGGTTTGTTCGTTTGTTTTTTGGTTTATTTATTGAAATATGTATTTGTTTCTTAATACATTATCTCCTTTATGCTACCAGGCCGGCTACCCCCCGGCTACCCCCCCCAAGATGGTTGTCCCCCCCTCCCCGGTAGCCCAGCACCCTGTAACGTAGCATCAAGTGTTTGTGCAAGTACGAGGGAAGATCTTTTAACGTAGCACCAAGCCCAAACGTCTGTGCAAGTGTGCAAGTACAAGAGAAGATCTTATAACCTCAAGTGTCTGTGCAAGAACAAGAGAAGGTCTATTGATGTAGCACCAAGTGTCTGTGCAAGTGCCAGAGAAGATCTTGTAACGTAACATCAAGCGTCTACGGAAGTAGGAGAGAAGATCTTATAACTCCTTATAACGTGCATCAACTGTCTGCGCGTGTACAATAGAAGGTCATGTAACGTAACATCAACTGTTTGTGCATGTACTAGAAAGGACCCTATAACGTAGCAGCAAGGGTCTGCGCAAGTACGAGGGAGGTACTGCAACGAAGCATCCAACATTTGTGCATGCACATACATACACACACATACATCCCTACATACATACCTACATACCCACTTACCTACATACTTACATACACACATACCTACATACATGCACGCAAACATACATCACACATACCTACATACATGCATGCAAACATACATACATACATAGATAGATAGATAGATAGATACATAGATAGATAGATAGATAGATAGATAGATACATAGATACATAGATACATAGATACATAGATACATAGATACATAGATACATACATACATACATACATACATACATGGATACATGGATACATGGATACATGCATACATGCATACATGCATACATGCATACATGCATACAGCATATATTCATACATACATACATACATGCATGCATGCATGCATGCATACATACATACATACACACACATACATACATACATACAGCATATATTCATACATACATACATACATGCATGCATGCATGCATGCATACATACATACATACACACACATACATACATACATACATACATACATACACACATACATACATACACACATACATACACACATACATACACACATACATACACACACATACATACACACATACATACATACATACATACATACATACATACATACATACATACATACATACATACATACATACATACATACATACATACATACATACATACATACATACATACATACATACATACATACATACAACATACATACATACATACATACATACATACATACATACATACATACATACATACATACATACATACATACATACATACATACTACGTACGTACGTACGTACATACATACATACATACACACATACATACACACATACATACACACACATACACACATCCATACCATCCATCCATCCATCCATCCATCCATCCCTCCGTACATACATACATACATACATACATACATACATACATACATACATACATACAAGAGACACCTCCATTCCCACAGGGGGGGAGGGTATAGACCTCCCATTCCCCCAGGAGAGGCGGGGAACCATGACCATGACGGGGGGGTTGGGTTGCAGGCGTGTACCATATATTCCATATATGTTTAACATGTTTTTGACAATGATCATGTGGTTTTTCTTTTGATTTTTGCGCGAATGATCTTCCACGCAACATCATGACATGTTTGGTTTGACTTCGTGACATCATTTCGACGATTTGACAAATTTACTTGTCTTTCTACCTTTATAGCGATTGATTTATGATATGCAAAAAAATGAAATGACATGCCCCACGATTGATACAGATGAAAAGGTCCTCACTGGCGTTTGCCCTGTCGGCCCATATTTGATGCCCAAACAACAATCTTCCTCCAATTTGTTTTGCTAAGTGCTTGGGATGGTCGTAGTTGGCAAGTGCACCCAGAAAAACATGATATGACGTCGACACTGAAAGTCATGACATCATATCCTAAGAATGATACCTCCTGAGAACAATTGCAACTTGCAGCCAGGCGTGGTTGTGAAACTGGGCCCCGGAGTCACTACTCTCAAGGTGGGCGATCGTGTAGGACATGCTTGGCTACATGACAGCTGTGGTGGCTGTGACTACTGCCTGGCAGGATGGGAGACAGCTTCCTGGCAAGGCAATGCCAACACCATGTTATTGTGTGTTAGAAGGGGATTCCAGTGTTGGAACTCTCATGGATCTCATGTAACTCAAAGAATGGGCTGGGATAACAGTCCTGTGGCAAATGGTATTTCAATATTTCCGAACAATTTCGTACTTCCCATTCTTCTTGGAAGGAGTCGCCACAGCTAAGGTCTGTGGAAACCAGCACCAGACTGGTTTCCTTGCCAATGGTTGCTTTGCCGAGTACACCATTGCGGAGGCCAACTATGTGGGACGCATCCCGGACAACGTGAGCTTTGCCCAGGCTGCCCCCATCCTATGCGCTGGAGTCGCCACCTACAAGGCCCTGAAGGAAACAGAAGCCAAACCTGGACAGTGGGTGGCCATCATAGGAGCTTGTGGTGGATTGGGCCACGTAGGCGTGGAAACAGGGTTCTGAGCGAACAGGTGTTCGGACTAGCTCAAGTAAAACCTTGTTCCAAAAAAAAAAGTGTTTTGCTCAAGACCTCCCCTCCCCAAGCACCTGGGCCGTGACTGGCTGACTGCTGACCCTGCAGGTTGTCAATACGCCAAGGCCATGGGCCTGAAGGTTTGTGCAATTGACTTTGGACCAGAGAAGAAGAGCTACGCTCTCGAAACCTTAGGGTGCGATGCGTATGTGGACATCAAAGACAAGAAAGGCCCGGGGTGATTGTTGTAATATGTTGGAATCTTGGATTTTCTCTATGGTCTTCTTTTTGACCGGGGTCCTTCTTGGGCTCGGGCTTCTCTCCAGGTGAGGAAATTGTTGATGCTGTGAAGGCTGCGTGCGATGGTGTGGGAGCGCATGGCTCAGTGATTTTGGCACCAGTGCCAGCAGCCTTTCGGCAGGGCGTTGATATGCTGCGGCCCATGGGCACGGCTGTGGGGATTTCACTGCCTCCAGGTGATTTCCCTGTTGACATTTTCTCTTTGATCCTTCACCGAAAGACCGTGAGAGGCTCCATTGTGGGGACAAGGAAGGATTTGAACGAGTGCCTCACTATTTGTTCAGACGGGAAGATCGTGTGCACCGTTGAGGAAAGGAAGTTGGAAGATTCTTGGCTTTCCTGTTGTGGGCGAGTTGGCTTGAGAGAAAGACGGTACTGGCTCAAATGTACTTTGCCAAAGGATTTCTGTGGTGGACGTTCTGCGAGATCTTATATATATACATATATATATATACATATACATATACGTATACATGTTCCTTTAGAGACCACCGCTAATGTGGAATGGGACTGTAAACATGAAGGGTGCCTATTAAACCGAACATGGAATCGAATTGCATACTGATTTGGCACAATTCGCATCAGAGTTGATCACCATGCTGAGGATATCAACCAAATCTTTGATGACATGGTCCATGGCAAGATCAAGGGCCGATGCGTGCTCCGTGTGGGTCCAGACCCTTAGTACAGTAAGCCTTCGTTTCGACTTCTACAGAGGATTCACCTGTGGTGAAGCTCTGATTCATTGCACGTATCGCACAGTCGCACAGACGTGTCCCGAAGTAGTGGACCACTGCTTCGTTGTTCCTGTTTTCCACAAAGGCTTTTGCTTTGGTTTCCATTGGAGCCTACAGAGGTCCAGGTGTAATACCCGTGGACCTTTGAGTATTTGTTACAGCCAATTGCTTGAAGAACGACAGTTGCATCACAGAGCTGAAGTGACGCAGTGCCAAGTAGTACCATGGTGGGCCAGGTGGGTGTCCCAGTCACAAACAGCATCAACTTGGGCAATTCAGAGTAGGTGTGTAGCAAAGTCTGCAGCTGAAAGTGTATGCCCTCCTGAATCCAAGCGGATGCCCCAAGATGGTCATTCCCACACATTTCCACGGGAAATCATATTCCCAACTCCCCATTATTTTTCGGGTTTTCGTGTCCGTTGTAAGATGGTGTGCATTTTTCTTCAACCCAAGTTGTAGCTTGTAGTTAGCCAGCAGCACACAAACTTCACCTTTCAAGTGGCTCAGCCTTTGGCCGGAAACACAGCGCAATTGTTCCCAAGCTCTTCCCAAGCATGGCGGAGCCCGAGAAGCTCCGCGGCAGAACTTTCGTGTTTTTTCATTTCCAGAGTTACCCCAAGGAATTCTTAAGCTTCTAGATACTGAACATCACATGTCCTCTTGCTACAGAATAGTAGCAGAGGCTGCTTTCCCACTAATTTATCATATATCATCTTCTGGCGGGTTATTCTGATGAAGTTGCCTCAGGCTGACAGTAAAGAGAAACAGGTCGGGCGTGTTCAAGAGGAAGTTCCAGGAGAGATGAGTGACCCGGTTGGAGTTGACATTCTTGGTGAAATGGGATGAAATGGCTTTGTCACTGATAATAGGGTACCCCCAATTTACCCCATATTCCGTGGATGCCCCTCCAGGATGATGATGGCGGTACCGTTGAAGTCACTGGCGAGGAAAACATCCAGTCAGGAACCGAAGGTCGACCGAGTTGCTGTGGGCCTGTGCTGAACAAGAAGCCGCTGTTGATTTCTAATTTGCAGAACATATTTCTAAACACAAAATGGATGACACTGAGAGATGGCTTGCCAAGTCATGCCTCACTGCATTTTATGGGTTGGACTTTGTGCACCGAAGCTGAGATGCCAGCCATAGGGAAGCCCAAGTCACAAGCACTGCAACGTTGCACGGCAGGTGCAGCCCAAAAGAAGACGGATGACCTGGCTCAGGTGCCATGAATCAATTGGCTTTGTCTTAAAATGGGGCACATCAATGGATATCCATAGTCATTTGAATAGGGAAAATTACGAAAGCCAGCCGATAGGCTAGGCAAAGTTGTTTTGGCGAACGAAGTGAGTATTAGGGGGTCTAGGGGGTGGTCGTCGCGTGTGGCACGAAAATCTCGAAATTAGTTGCAGTGGAGGGCATATGGTTAGGAGTGATGATTTTTGAAAAATGAATGAGGTAATATATGTTTAGATATTGTTGAGAAAAATGAAGCAATCAACAATATTTAAAATGACTTTTTGGACTGCCACGTTTTTTTTTTGTGAATATTTCTTGAGTTGTTATACTGCTATGATATGAGATTGGAAAACTTCTTACAACTGACTTTTTGGTCTGCCACGTTTTTTTTTTTTGTGAATATTTTTTGAGTTGTTATACTGCTATGATATGAGTTTAGAAAACTTTTTACAATCATTTTTTTACATTTTTTAGGGGAGGTCACAGGGGGTCATGGGAGGTTACCGTAGGTTACGGGAGGTTACGGAGGAAAACGGAGGAAAGTGGAGGAACGGCAGGAAAAAGGTTGGAAAAAAACGAAAGAGAACGAAGGAAAATCGTTAAAAACAGGAGGAAAATGGAGGAACTCCGAAGCTCAACGGAGAGCAGCATCCGTTGGGGTTCGGAACAAGATAGTTTGCAAGGGGATGAGAAGTGATACTGAGGAAGGGGGGGCGAAGGGTTGCAAAGCAAGGAGAAGTCTTCCAAAGGTGCTGCAGATGGTTTGGGCTTCTAATCTAGTTCATATGGGATTGTAAGAGGACGTTTGGGGGCTCGGGGCTGGCTTTCGTCCCCCCTTCTCAGGTGATGATCATCCATTGGAATTGGGGGTACCCTATTTTTAGACAAAGTCATGTGTCTTTCTGAGTCAGTTGTCTATGCTGAATTCAATGGATGCATGTGTGCAGCATGCAATCATTAATGATTCAATGATGATTCGTCAGAGTTGCTGTACGTCTTGTGGAGATGACAGCACATCTTCTGAATTTTCAGCGTGGACTGCGGGACAGAATGCTTCGACTCAAGGCCATTGCGTTCGAGCATATGCACGAGGCACTGGGAAGCACAACTGTTTCTCTGGTACTAAGAAGGTGGTTTGAACACACCACTATTGAAACCCATTGAAACCCTCAAGGTCCCGATCACAAAACAAAGATGCTGCTAAGCATTTTCAGCATGTTTTTTCAAAGTGCGAAAGGATGCGAAAGGTGTTTGCCTGTCTACTGTACATTCCCGCAAGTCATGTTCTGCACAGCGAGTCACATGTGGTAGGTACCAGATAGCGACAAACCCTTCCTGGGTGCAATTCCTCAACTCCTCAAGAAGCCCAGAATAGCCGGAGATGACGAAACTGAGCACTGTGGTCACTAGCGGGTCTGAGTTCTCATGATTGCTATGGTTCTGCCCAATTCGTTTTCATGGGCTCATTTGAGCCACCGAACTTCTTGTTTTGCTGTGATCCACTGCGGTCAACGATTTTTTTTTTTGCAAATAAGAACTGGGTTGTTCTAGCTCGGCTCACCGTTCTCGATGAATCCAAGTTCTTGTGACCTTTGACGTGTGGACATCCCGCAGACAAAAGTTTTTAGAGGTGGCTCTTGAAACTCTGGTGACCTCAGGAAAGCTACCGTGCAACTCGAGTTGCTTGCCAAGCCATCACGGCGGCCATCAGTTCTGCAGAGGGCATTCTGGTTGTCTTTGCACAGGCCTGGACTTTTTTCCCAATCTGCCAAGGGTTGAATTTCCAGTTCTGAGTCACAAAATGGACCCATCCCAGTTGAGAATGGGCAGGATTCGTCCAGCTGCAGTCACAGCAAGAAGCTGCTTGAGCTTAGCTCAGCTTCTTGGCTCTCCATGGCTGATCCGGAAAACCTGAATCCCCGCGTGGTTTACTTCTTGGGCATGATAACCAACCTGGATTTTGGGTATCATGGAATACAACTTGTTTGGACATAGGCGGGTGAACTTTTTTGCCCGCATGAGACTGTGGATTGATATGACCCAGTGTGTGCCAAACTGAACCCAGGACCAAAAGGACGTGATAGACCAGGCGGGATAGCAGGGTTCATGATTGATCTTGGAATGCCTGACACATTTTCATGGGCTCCGCAGACAACAGAGTGCAGAGTTGGGAATCCTATATTTTTTCCCTTGCACCCTTTGCTTCCGAAAGCAGAGTTTGATCAGGGCCAGGGTTTTGCTGCAATGGCTCTCTACTTTTCACCCTGTGCCTGGAAAGCAGTACACCAGAAAAGACCCGGCACAAGAAACGAAGCCCGCTTGGTCCACTTTGCCGGCATCTCTTGGTGTGCCGGTTTGGCCTTGTCTAAAGAATGCCCCAAGTTCCGCTCATGCTAGATACAATTCCATTGTGGCACACGACCAGGATCTTGTGGTTGAATTGACCCGAGAAGGATGCGTGTGAAGAATCGTAACTTCAGACAGCCACATTGAGTTGTGCAAAACAGATCCAAACAATCTAATTTGCTGAAAAACAATCAGAAAGTCCTTCGTAAAAGAAAGAAATGCAACTGTGACATCGTCAAAATCATCTGCAGCTGTGCATTTTTGCTTTTTTGTATTTATATAATTTCAGTCTCAGATAGTCTCAGGTCTCAGGTTGTAAAAAGAAATGGCTGTGTCAGGCGAAGGTCCACATCTCGCCGGCCAGTGATTGGCTGAACACCCTGGCCAGCAGTCACTTCAGGCTTGGGAATCACACAACGAAAATGATGAATGTGCAAACTCTGCCCCAGAATCTCTGCCTGTCTCTTGAAGCCTTGGAGAACTGACTCGTTTGGATGCCCCTGAGCCTGCAAACCTTGCATCTATTTGAATGGTTTGGGTCTTCTTGGGGGCCGATGCTCCGCTTCTGCAGTGTCAAGCCGATTCCCATGGCAGCAGATGGGCACCGGCTGCTGATCTACGTCGGCCCGGGGGCTCATGAGATGTTTTACTATCAGACCCTTCTCACGACTCTGGAGTGGAGATTGATCGATGGTCAAAGTTCCACTCCAAGAGCAGGTTTGGAAGCTTTCAAAGCCTTCAGATCAGGCTGTGAGTTGATTTGGAGATGGACAACTTACCGGCTCTTTCATTCCACAATTCCACCCTCAAATTGGTGGTACAAGAAGTGTAGGTACTGAAGGTAGACTTAAGCAGAAACTCGCAGGCAACCGCCCCGCTGAGGCACACCAGGCAAGTATGCCACGATGTGCTTACGATCTGATCATGGCCAGTTTGATGAAGCCTACAAAGCCTGGACTTGAGAGTGAAAACGCTGCTGGAAAATGTTGCATTTGTAGTTAGCAGTTCCTGAAGCGGTGGGTCCGTTTGGGCGTTGGATCGTGTAGTCGAGCAGAGTCAAGCAATTTTTGAACTTTTGCTGGAGGGAAACGAAGGAAAAAACACTCGAAGACCTTGAAAAACAAGTCTTCACTGGCGGGTAACACTGAGGCCAACAGGCTTATTGTTCTATGCAAAGGAGTCTCCCGGCAGCAGAAATCCTCCATGTGGCGAGCATCCATTGCTGAGCTGCAGTTGACCACCAGCAAGACCGGGCTGTTTTGGTGATTTGGTCATGAAATTCAGCGTGTTCAGAAGCAAGTTCCCTTATTTTCTAGCTCTTTTATCGGTCTAAAGCGGCAAAGCTTAAACAGCCGAAAAAAATCATAGTTTCTCGTATTAGGCCGACGTAAAATAATTTATTAATTCAGACGACGTCAATATTTCAGCTGTAAAAATATTTGAAATAATCGACGACCTGCGAAACATTATAAATTGTACAGATGAATGAAATCATGAGTTTTGGAGAGGCAGCGTTTGTTGGAGCAATGTTTAAAACTTGAAACTTTGAGTACAACAGTGCAACACCATGAACATGGTTGGATTATGTTGGACTGATAGCTGAGTTAGTACTTGGTTCGAGGTTTGCATGCTTCCCATCGGTACTCAAGAACAGAACATCATGGGAGTTGATGAGACAGAGGCGGGTGGACAGTTTTTTCACTTGGAGAAGGCTTCGTTGATAACGACCTAACCTCTTTTTGGTGACAGGATGTGAGCCCTTTGACTTGTTTTGACTTGGCTTTTCTTTGTTGCCTTTCTTCTCTGTTTGTCAGTTCGGGCATCCCCCTGGAGCCATGTGCCGCTACAATCATAGTAACTTTCCTTGATCATGGTGGGAGGCCCCCTTCCTTATCATCCACGTTGGGGCAATACCAACTGGCTGACAGGTGCTGAAGGAGATCTGCTTAACACTGAAAGAGAGAGGCCCAGGATCAGAAGCTGAGACAGACACAGTGCATCGATTTTGGTTGTTTATTTGGTCTCTGCACTGAATGTTGTCCAGAAGATACCCTTCATGAATTGTATCTTATGGCTGTGCATGATTTGCCACACTTGGATCATCAAGAGACACTTCCAGGACTGCCGCGGTACATCACACATTAATCTCGCTCTCATCTGGCCGATAGGTCCCATTGCCTGGGCCTCTGGCGAAGGCACCAAGAACGTCTTCATGCAGAAGGTGCGGATCTGGGGATGGGTCAAGTCATGCAGTCGGTTGACCTATGGCACCTATGGAAGACTTCCACTGCAGTGTTTGCTCAACAAAAAATGCCTCCGGTTCTGTGGAGGCCTTTGGCTATCCTAAGGCATGGCTGGGGTCGGTTGTCCAGTTTGTAGGTCTTGGAAGCGGAGAGACACCTTTCAAATTGCATCCAAGGCCATAATCTGATAGCTTCGTGTCACATCTCGATCTTCAATATCAAGATATATCAAGTATATATCAAGTATATTCAAATACTGCAACCAGCCAAAGCACCTTTCCTGCTTTGGGTGGAAACGGGTGAAAACTTCCTGGACCCAGGCGCAGGATATGCCACCCTCGTTGAGCTTTCCAAAGGCCAGGACTGGACAGTTCGCGTGCCTGGTGGGGGAACTCAGGATGGGACCCTGAATGGATCTACTATCCGTATATAACGGACGATATATATAATATATGTATATATATATAATGTATACATAATATGTAATATATATATATGATTATATATGTATATGTATGTATATACATACCCACATTACTTTACATTTACATTTACAGTTTACATTAAATTACATTACATTACATAACATTACATTACATGACATGACATACCATACATACATACATACATACATGCATGCATAAAATACACATATACATACACATTGAGGCCGCTATGCGGGTATCACTTTTCCACCCGCAGACGAAGACGAATTCAATTCCCCCCCGAAGACGAATTCCGAAGACGAATTCTCTGAAGGCGAATTGCGCCCTGAAGACGAATTTCCCCCCCCGAAAGCGAATTGCAAAGACGAGTTTCCCGAAGACGCCCTGCACGCCCCGAAGACGAATTCCCCCCCCGAAGAAGAACTCCGAAGACGAATCGAAGACGAATTGCGGCCCGAAGACTAATTCCCCCCCGGCGACGGATTGCGAAGACAAATTTCCCGAAGACGAATTTCGCCCCGAAGACGAATTTCGCCCCGAAGACGAATTCCCCCCCGAAAGCGGATTCCGAAGACGAATTCCCCGAAGACGAATTGCGTCCCGAAGACGAATTCCCCTCCCGAAGACGAATTGCGAAGACAAATTGCCCGAAGACGACTTTTTCCCTCCCGAAGACGAATTGCGAAGACTTCGAATTCCACACGAATAGCAGGGAAGAGTTGCAACGAAAGGACGGGCGCAATGAAATGGACGAGTTGACAGGAAAGGAAGGCAAGGAAGAGCAAGACGAACAGGAAAGAAGAGTTGAAGCGAAAGGTTGTAACGAAGTGAACGGCTTGAAACGAAAGAAAGAGGTAAACGAACGGGATGGAAACGTTGAACCAAAATGAATGGAAGTAACGAAATGAACGCCGTGAAATGAAAGGAAGAGGTAAATGAACAGGATGGAAGCGTTGAAACGATGGGAAGGAAGTAAAGAAGGGAAGGGAAGAGTTTAAAACGAAAGGAACGAGATATAAAGTATAGGGAACAGAAGCGAAGAGTTGAAACGAAAGGGAAGGAAGTAACGAACCGGGTTCAAAAGAGTTGAAACGAAAGGAAAGAAGTAACGAATCGAAGGGTAGCGTTGCAACGAAAGGACGGGCGTGATGAAATGGACACCCTGAAAGGAAAGGAGGTAAACGAAGCGGATGTAAGACTATAGAATCTGAAGGAAAGAAGTAAAACGAAATGAACGGCTCGAAACGGAAGGAAGAGGTAAACGAACCGGATGTAAGAGTTAATTGAAAAAGGAAGGAGATAACGAAATGAACGACTTGGAAAGAAGGAAGAGGTAAACGAACCGGATGTAAGACATAAACAAGATTCAGCCCACGAACCCAAATGCTCTCACGTGTGTTAATGGTAGTGATGTCGAAACACATGGAAATGCAGTCATGCAGAACACTTTTCTGAAACAGTTTATTTACACAGTCCGTACATTTAAAAGTGTAAAGTGTAAAGTGTAGACTATGGAGTGCAGATTGTAAAGTGTGGAATGTAAAGTGTGGAGTGTGAAGTGTGGAGTGAAAACTGTGAAGTGTAGAATGCTGAGTGTAGACTGTAAAGTGTGGAGTGTAGAGTGTGGAGTGTAAACTGTAAAGTGTGGAGTGTAAAGTGTAGAGTGTAGAGTGTGGAGTGTGAAGTGTGAAGTGTTGAGTGTGGTGGAGTGTGGAGTGTGGAGTGTAAAGAAAGGAGTGTGGAGAGTGGAGTGTGTAAAGTGTAAAGTGTGGAGTGAGGAGTGTGGAGTGTAGAGTGTGGAGTGAGGAGTGTAGAGCCAGAGTGAGGAGTGCACAGTGTAAAGTGTAAAGTGTAAAATGTGGAGTGCAGAGTGTAAAGTGTAAAGTGTAGAGTGAAAAGTGAAGAGTGTAAAGTGTAGAGTGTAAAGTGTAGAGTGTGGAGTGTAAAGTGTAGAGTGTAGAGTGTGGAGTGTGGAGTGGAAAGTGTAGAGTGTGGAGTGTAAAGTGTAAAGTGTGGAGTGTAAAGCGCGGAGTGTGGGGTGAGGATTGTGGAGTGAGGAGTGTGGAATGTGGTGGAGTGTGGAGTGTAGAGTGTGGAGTGTGGGGTGTAAAGTAAGGAGTGTAAAGTGTGGAGTGTAAAGTGTGAAATGAGGAGTGTACAGTGTAAAGTGTAAAGTGTGGATTGTAAAGTTCAGAGTGCGGAGTGTCAAGTGTGGAGTGTGGAGTGTAAAGTGTGGAGTGAGTAGTGTTGTGTGAGGAGTGTAAAGTGTAAAGTGTGGAGTGTAAAGTGTAAAGTGTAGAGTGTAAAGTGTAGAGTGTGGGGTGTGGAGTGTAAAGTGTAGAGTGTGGAGTGTGGAGTGTGGAGTGTGGAGTGGAAAGTGTAGAGTGTGGAGTGTAAAGTGTGGAGTGTCAAGTGTACAGTGCGGTGTGAGGAGTGTACAGTGAAAAGATTAAAGCGCAGAGTGTGGAGTGTGGAGTGGAAAGTGTAGAGTGTGGAGTGTAAAGTGTGGAGTGTCAAGTGTACAGTGAGGAGTGTGGAGTGTAAAGTGTGGAGTGAGGAGTGTAGAGTGTAGAGTGTAAAGCGTAGAGCGTGGAGTGTGGAGTGTAAAGTAAGGAGTGTGGAGTGTAAAGTGTGGATTGTGGAGTGTGAACAGCGTGGAGTGTGGAGTGAGGAGTGTGGAGTGTAGAGTGTGGAGTGTGGAGTGAGGAGTGTAAAGTAAGGAGTGTGGAGTGTAAAGTGTGGAGTTTGGAGTGTGTAGAGTATGGAGTGTGGAGTGAGGAGTGTGGAGTGTAGCGTGTGGAGTGTGGAGTGAGGAGTGTAAAGTGTGGAGTGAGGAGTGTACATTGTAAAGTGTAAAGTGTGGTGTGTAGAGTGTAGAGTGGAAAGTGTAGAGTGTAAAGTGTAGAGTGTGGAGTGTGGAGTGCAGAGTGTAAAGTGTTGAGTGTGGAGTGTAAAGTGTAGGATGTGGAGTGTGGAGTGGAAAGTGTAGAGTGTGGAGTGTGGAGTATGGAGTGTGGAGTGTAAAGTGTGGAGTGTAAGGTGTGGAGTGTAAAGTGAGGAGTGTGGAGTGTAGAGTGTGGAGTGTGGGGTGTGGAGTGTAAAGTATGGAGTGTAAAGTGTGAAGTGAGGAGTGTACAGTGTAAAGTGTAGAGTGTAAAGTGTAGAGTGTGGTGTGTAAACTGTGGAGTTTGGAGTGTGGAGAGAGGAGTGTACAGTGTAAAGTGTAAAGTGTGGAGTGTAGAGTGTCGAGTGTAAAGTGTAGAGTGTAGAGTGTGGAGTGTGGAGTGTAAAGTATGGAGTGTAAAGTGTGAAGTGAGGATTGTACAGTGTAAAGTGTAGAGTGCAAAGTGTAGAGTGTAAAGTGTAGAGTGTAAAGTGTAGAGTGTGGAGTGTAAAGTGTAGAGTGTGGAGTGTAAAGTGTGGAGTGTCAAGTGTGCAGTGAGGAGTGTGGAGTGTAAAGTGTGGAGTGAGGAGTGAGGAGTGTAGAGTGTAGAGTGTAAAGTGTAGAGTGTAAAGCGTAGAGCGTGGAGTGTGGAGTGTAAAGTAAGGAGTGTGGAGTGTAAAGTGTGGATTGTGGAGTGTGAACAGCGTGGAGTGTGGAGTGAGGAGTGTGGAGTGTAGAGTGTGGAGTGTGGAGTGAGGAGTGTAAAGTAAGGAGTGTGGAGTGTAAAGTGTGGAGTTTGGAGTGTGTAGAGTATGGAGTGTGGAGTGAGGAGTGTGGAGTGTAGCGTGTGGAGTGTGGAGTGAGGAGTGTAAAGTGTGGAGTGAGGAGTGTACATTGTAAAGTGTAAAGTGTGGTGTGTAGAGTGTAGAGTGGAAAGTGTAGAGTGTAAAGTGTAGAGTGTGGAGTGTGGAGTGCAGAGTGTAAAGTGTTGAGTGTGGAGTGTAAAGTGTAGGATGTGGAGTGTGGAGTGGAAAGTGTAGAGTGTGGAGTGTGGAGTATGGAGTGTGGAGTGTAAAGTGTGGAGTGTAAGGTGTGGAGTGTAAAGTGAGGAGTGTGGAGTGTAGAGTGTGGAGTGTGGAGTGAGGAGTGTAAAGTAAGGAGTGTGGAGTGTAAAGTGTGGAGTTTGGAGTGTGTAGAGTATGGAGTGTGGAGTGAGGAGTGTGGAGTGTAGCGTGTGGAGTGTAAAGTATGGAGTGTAAAGTGTGAAGTGAGGAGTGTACAGTGTAAAGTGTAGAGTGTAAAGTGTAGAGTGTGGTGTGTAAACTGTGGAGTTTGGAGTGTGGAGAGAGGAGTGTATAGTGTAAAGTGTAAAGTGTGGAGTGTAGAGTGTCGAGTGTAAAGTGTAGAGTGTAGAGTGTGGAGTGTGGAGTGTAAAGTATGGAGTGTAAAGTGTGAAGTGAGGATTGTACAGTGTAAAGTGTAGAGTGCAAAGTGTAGAGTGTGGAGTGTAAAGTGTGGAGTGTGGAGTGTGGAGTATGGAGCGTAAAGTGTAAAGTGTGGAGTGTAGAGTGTAAAGTGTAGAGTTGAAAGTGTAGAATGTAAAGTGTAGAGTGTGGAGTGTGGAGTGTAAAGTGTAGAGTGTGGAGTGTTGAGTGGAAAGTGTAGAGTGTGGAGTGTGGAGTGTAAATTAAGGAGTGTGCAGTGTGGAGTGTAGAGTGTAAAGTAAGGCATGCGGAGTGTAAAGTGTGGGGTGTAAAGTCTGAAGTGAGGAGTGTACAGTGTAAAGTGTAAAGTGTAAAGTTTGGATTGGAGTGAGGAGTGTGGTGTGAGGAGTGTAAAGTGTAAAGTGTGGAGTGTAGAGTGTAAAGTGTAGAGTGTGGAGTGGGGGGTGTGAATGTCACAAAGTGCCACGCCTGCCACGCAAAACGGCATAGACAACCTGCTTGGAAACCTTCGAAAAGGAGAGGTTTTGCAGAGGGCACAGGAAAACCAGAGACTCGAGACTAGACACGTGGGCGCAGAAAAACGAGCATTTCGTGTGAGACGTCCGCCAATTTTCACACTTTGTAGCTTCAAAATCGACGTTTTCCTACGAGTTTTCTTAGGAACCTCTAATTTACTATCCCAAAATCGATGTTTCGTGCGAAGCTTCCGTCAATTTTCAGCACATCTCACAAAATGCCACGCCTGCCATGGAATCTGCACCTTGTCGCCGCTTGACGCAGCCCTGCCAATGCGACTCGCAAAAGCACGCAACACGACACGTCTAAAGTGCTGCGCTTGCTCCGAAAAATGACGATGGACACGTCCAAAGTGCTGCGCCTGCCATGAAAACTGCAACGCATCTTCTGAAAACGTCGCTAAAGTATTGCGCCTGCCACGCAAAACAACTTTCGACACGTTACAAAACACGTTTGAATGTCACAAAGTGCCACGCCTGCCACGCGAAACGAAGCAACGAGACGTTTGAAACCTCCAAAAAGCCCCTTCTGCAGAACTTATCATAGGCACGGCCATATAGCAATCGCGCGGACGCTTGCGAACGGTTGTGGACGGTTGCGGACGGTTGCGAACGGTTGCAAACCGTTGCGAACGGTTGCTGACGGTTGCGGACGTAAACGCAACCTCGAGCAAACACACCCTCAACCCCCAGACCCCCAGAGTGAAACGGGAACCATTGCTACGCATTCGGGAAAAAGGAAGGAAATAGCGAAATGAACGCATTGACATGAAAGGAGAGGTAAATGAACAGGATGGAAGCGTTGAAACGATTGGGAGGAAGTAGCGAACGGAAGGGAAGAGTTAAAACTTCGGAAGGAACGACGTATAGGGAACAGAAGGGAAGAGTTGAAAAGTTGAAACGAAAGGGAAGAAGTAGCGAACGGGATTACAAAGAGTTGAAACGAAACGAAGGAAGTAAGGAATGAAAGGGAAGAGTTGCAACGAAAAGACGGACGCAATGAAATGGTCAAGTTGAAAGGAAAGGAAGAGCAGGAAGAACAGGACAGAAGATTTGAGCGAAAAGACGGACCTAACCAAATGAACGCCTTTAAATGAAAGGAAGAGGTGGATGAATAAGATAAACAATGTGGAGGAAGTAACGAACCGAGCAGAAATTAAAACGAAAGGAGCGACGTAGGGAACAGAAGGGAAGACAAAACGAAAGGGAAGAGTAACGATCGAAATGCTCTGGATGCTATAGCCTCCGGGCTTGCTCTTTGAGATTTTGAAAATTAGCTACGCTCTTGGCCTTCTCCTGAGGCATTTCAGCACGCCCTTGACGCTACACTCTGGAGACAGTTGCGGTCTTGAATGCTACGCTCATTTTCTCTTGGAAGTTCGAGCAAGCTCTTGGTGCTATGCTGGCTATGCTCTTGGCTTACTCTTGGGTTTTCCGACACGCTTTTGCTGCTACACTCTTGGCTTTCTCCTGGGACAGTCCGGCATGCTCTTGATGCTGCCCTCTTGACCCCAACATGCTCTTGATGCTACGCTCTTAGCTGTCTAATTGGAACTTCCAACACGCTCTTGGTGTTTTTTTAACCCTCTTAACTATCTCGCGGGCTGTTCAGCACTTTCTCTTTGCCTTGTCCTGGGACATGCCAGCACACTCTTGACGCTACGCTCTTGGTTTCTCTTGGAGCATGGCACGCTCTCTTTGCTTCTTTTTGTGACACATTAAATACCAACACGCTCTTGATGCTACGTTCTTGGCTCCGGCTCTGACACTCTCTTGATGCTACACGCTGACCCTTGTCTTGGAACAGTTCAAGATGCTGTTGACGCTACGGTCCACCACAATCGTGATGATACGCTCTTATAACTTGTTGGAACTTCCAACGTGCTCTTGTTGTTGCTACGCTCCGCCTCTTGACGCCGGTCTGGAGAAAGTCACGCTCTTGGTGCTACGCTCTTAGCTTTGTTCTGGAACACGCCAGGGCGCTCTAGTTGCTACGCTCTTTTGTTTTCCTGAAGCATTCCAGCATGCGCTTGATGCTGCGCTCTGACCTCCGACGCGTTCTGGATGCTAGACTCTTAGGTTTTTCTTGGTCCTTCAGCACGCTCTCTTGGTATTGCTCGTTTATAGGTTTCTCTTGGAACTTCCAGCACGCTCTTGGTTATGCTCTTGTCTTCCTCTTGGAACTGCCAGCGTTCTCTTGATGTTGCCTCCATCTGCCTCCTGTGCTACGCTTTTAGCCTTGGACCTTCCAACACGCTCTTGGTGTTACGCACTAAACCCCCGCATGTTCTGAATGCTACACTCTTAGCTTTTTCCATTGAACTTCCTGAGCTTCCTCCTGGAACATTCCGGCGCTCTCTTGGTTTGGGTTTGGTAAGAAGCTAAGAAGGTTCTACTTCAACTTAATTAATGATTGATCCTTGCCTCAAAGATTTTCAACTGAGATTGCAAAAACGCGCCACATGATCTTGATCATTTGCAACAGCCCCTTTGTACTACCTCGACACCTTATTATATTTCTACATACCCTAGCCTTGGTGATCAGACCAAATCGCTATCTGCCCTCCGGCTCCTCTTTCTCTCTGCATTCCTCTATTGATCTTCCCACATTCTACAGTACGCCTGCGCCCTTGCTCCTCATGCCTAGGCTGTCAACACGCAATGCGTCGTCAGGAAATGGGTCGTCACAATGCGTCGTCAGGGGGTAATGCGCCGTCAGGGGGCAATGCGTCGTCAGGGAATGTGTCGTCAGAATGCGTCGTCAGGGGGGCCGGGGGTCATCGCCAATGTGTCGTCACAATGCGTCGTTAGCGTCAGCGCCAAAAATCATACCCAAGCTGCGGGTGCCCTGTGCATACACATATACATAGACATATACATATATATATATACGCATATGTATTATTTTACATATGTATATAGAGCTGATGTATAATGCGGTTATTACCCACTTCCACTTCCTATAACTGGGATGCGCCCCCAAGTAAGATGGTGAACATTCCCCTGTTGTGCTTCCGTCCGTTTTGGGTGCCAGGGTTTGTGAATCTCTGATTGATTCAGAACTCAAAGTCACCCTGAATTCATCTCAGATGTTTGGCTTTGCCAAGATTTCCCCAGGATAGAAACATATTGAGACCATGGGTCTACTCCACCAGAGGCTTCCATGTCATGAGGCAGAGTACGTGAAGTTCACCAACAGCCTGAAACTGGCCAAGTCTGGCTCCCAGAAACTGGCCAAGTGTGATCTCCATCCGATGTCCTTTTACTGGTTCCTATTGGTACCAGACCGACCCCATCCCATTGCAGCTCCTGCCAGTCCGGAGATGTGTGTGGAGCGCTCAGCGCAGCTGTCTCTATGGGAATTGTGTGGTGGCAAATTTCCATAAATGGGGGATCCCCAAATGGATGGTTTATAATGGACAATCCTATTAAATGGATGATTTCGGGATACGCCTATTTCAGGAAACTTCCAAATATGTTTTAACCATTCCTTAACCACTATGGTTTGGATTTTTTTGTCCCTGTTCTGGGGGTTCTACCTCCTCAGGTCAAGAACTACTACGACACGGGATTGACTGTCCCAGACTCAGGACCAACGAGGGTCATGCTCGCAAATGCCAAGGAAGAATTAGGCTTGGCATATTTCGAGGAAACTAACTGCAACAACAGCTGCGCTGGGAGTCAGTTGCGATACTATCACCGAAAATACATCTTTCGGAGCTTTGGAGACCAATTGTTCTGCACATCCAAATGGGTGGCCGGGTAGCTTCGGGTTCACGACTCTGAGGTGTCTGTGATGATGGCAACTGTTGTCCAGGAGGCGATCCTCTAAGATTCCAGCGCATCTCGATGTGTATATCTTTGCTCCATGGTTGTCACAATTTTAGTAGATTTGCAAAGAAAAGATTTTGCTTCAGATCGGTTTTTGAATTCGGAATCTTTGGATGGGTGCAGGGAATATCGCTGATGACTGATGCTGATGGGCTGGCTATGTTGCGTGATGCCAGTATTGGCCGGGTTTCTCAATCACAAGTGGTGAGCATATTTCCAATCACAAGTGGTGCTTTGAAGGTGACGCTTCTGGAAACTCTGGCGGAACGATATTCCTATCGCCTCAAGTAGATAATTGATCGGTCTTGTCAAATGTGTTCAGAACTGTCCTCCCCCTGCGTCTGCATCAGGTCACATCATGTCGAAGCTGAACCAGGCAGCATGGTACCAGGATTCAACGTTAATGACATGGCTTGGCAGAGGGTTGTTCCAGTGGCAGGTGACGACCGTGGAACAATTCAGCAAACAGCCCCTTGGTATCTCTTGGTCGCCTTTGTTCTTTGGATGAAGGGCCCGCAGAAACGCCACCGTTGTGACATTTGCCCCATGGAGCCAAGGAAGAGCGTCTACAACTTTTTCATTGGAGCCGGGAGCTTGGTGCGATGGCCATTTGGGCCATGGGCTGACTATTTTGCGACGTGAGGATGGAGCCTGCCGGCTGAATGGCGGTACCGAGCTGACCCTGCACTTGATGGAAGGCCACGCTACGAAATCCATGACCACGGTGTTCCTTTTCAACAACAAGGCAGGACGATCGTGGCGCCAGTCTGCAGTCTCCAACTTGCAGAAACCATCAGAAATTCCTAGAAATTCGATTTTCTTTCGGATTTCCTGGATGATTTTTGGTGATTTTAGAGCAGATTCTTTCCTTTTCTTTTGTGCGGGAAGGCCATCAACCAAATGTGGCTCCTTGGTGCTATCTGTGGATCTGTGACACTAGGCCTGGGCGATTGAGGACAACCTCGTGGCCACCAAAGAGAAGGAACACGTGGCTTGGAGAAGAATTGCACTGGAAAGGGGAGATTTCATGATATTTCATATTCATTAGATAGTTTTGTTACGTTTCGTTCGGGGGAAGGCTCCATCTCGTACACTTTTTGTATCTTTTTGTACACTTTTTTCTTTTATTGGATTCAGAAACAGGTTGCGCTTGTGGTAGAGAGCGTCGATGTTTTGTTGTTGGTTGCTGATTCCCGTAGCACCATTCTTTACCGTGTTGCCGCTGTTTTGCTGCATCACATTTGGAGAACCTTCCGAACTGATGCAAATTCCTTCTACTATTTCTCAAGAGCATCAGTATCTTTACAATTGGCACTGCCCCAATCTCTCAGGTGCTGTTCAACACTCAGTTCTATGATGTTGTGGCAGAGCACAAGCGGATTTGCATCTGTGGCTTGGTGTAATTGTTTTTACGTCTTCGTTGTCCTGGAGATTGGTCCGCAGAGAAATTCACATATTTCATGTTTCTTTATCCTGCTCCGCTCCAAATTTTTCAGCACTGGCACCTCTGAAACTCAGATGTGCCAAGGTGAGACGGAGTCTGACTTGAGAGAGATCCTGACTTTCTTGAGTGCGGCTTGCCTTGAACAATTTTGAGGTGAAAACCTACCGGGTAGAAAATATGTGTGAAACTACGGCATGATGGCACTACAACCATGGCACAACCATGGCAACCACCCATTTCAGCTCTAGGGACGTGTTTTGCATATGGTTTCTGACTCTGTGATGTATGAGATCATTTCATATCATTTCTATGTGTACATGAGATCCGCTTCTAACCCTTGCCCCATTGTAGATAGATTGTTGCAAGGAGAAGTCCATCAACTTCGTGGAAGGCAAATCGAAACCAGGAGTGAGCTCAGCTCGTTGGGCGCTGGGTGCTGGGACTCTGGGAGTGCCGACACTTACCAACCATCCAATCTTCATTCAATCTTCATCCAACCTTCCCCCAATTTTCATCGAATTTTCATGTAATTTTAATGTTTATTTTTTTCAAAATTGATACCCAATTTTGAGACCATTTGAGACCATTTGAGAGAATTTTCTCATTTTGATATTGGCGGAGCGCAGGAATGTTCATGGTTGTTGTCCGTGGCCTGAAGATGAACTTGCCTCCCTGCCTGGGAGACATCGAACCCATCCGGAAATCCAAGGACCTGTTGGCCAAATCAGGGGTCACGCAGGCTGATGGTTTCAGAGTTTCAGCGGACAAATGACCCAATGTTTAGATATCCTCATGATATATATATATATATATATATATATTATATATATATACATAAATATATTATATATATATGTATACACACATAAATATGATATGTTGAAAGTGATTCCTGCCATATTCCTGCTATATCTCTTTGGCAAATCTTGAGCCATAGCCAGCCATAGCAAGCCATAGCTGGTTGTGACCCAGGAGATGGCCTTCATGCGCGAGGTCCTTGGCACCTTCGCCAAGGGCTGCGAGAGCCGTGTGCCGCTCTATGGCTGCTCTGCGTCCCTTGGAACGACAGGAGACACTGTGGCACCCGTCACAGGGCGTTGCTTCAACTCTGAAAAGCACCAGATCTATGTAGCCAACTGATGTTTTTGCATGTTTTTGCAGGACATTTCAGGAGCAGTTCCTGTTAATTCTTCTCTCATGGCTGACACACTTTGATGGACAGGCTCCTTTCTAGTATGTGCTGTTTGACTGTCTCTGTCATAAGGTTCGAGTACATCCAGTACTTGCACTTCTTCTTGGAAGAAATGCCCGAAGGCATACAACCACTGGACCCCGTGTTGCTCGTTTGGTTGGACATGGCATGACTGTTGGCGTGTGGATGCAGAGGATCTAGTCATAAATAATATATATATATAATAAATAAACTATATAATAAATAATATATATATATATATAAATATTATAACATAACATGATATGATACGATATATTTTAATATAGCATAATATATTATAATGTAATATGATATAAAATAATACAATATAATGTAGTATAATATAATATAATATTATATTATAATATATTGTATTATATTATATTATAATATTATATTATATTATATTATATTATATATATAATATAGTATAGTATAGTAAAATAACATAAAATATAATACGCATAATATAATATATAATAGAATTATATATATATATATGATAGATATTACATATACACTTGTTTTCTTGCTGTCGCAATGAAGCAGCCTTGATTGTCTTTACAAGATTCCTATTTTATACTGGGGTGGTTTTTGTGTCTGAATTTGTTTCCAAGAAAACTTGGCCAGGCAAGCAGTACCAGTACATCTGTGGTCGCACAGATATTCAGGCTGCCCATATGATGGGTTTCCATCAGCCTGAGGGCAAATGCGTACTGTTCATCAATGCCTCTTGGCTTAATGAGCCCATCAACTCAACCCTTGTTCCTCCTAGCGCTGCTAGTTCCCATCAAGGGTTTACCAATGCGGTGTTGCACTATTGCCAAGCTTTTGGATGAAGCTTCCACCAAGTAGTGGATTGAGGTTGATGTGAAATCCTAGCTTCCTGTTGAAACAACTTTTGTGCTGGTTCAGAAGGAAAGCAAGTCACTGCAGCCATAATTCGTAATCTAAAAACGTAAAGTTGAGATTTCGCAAGGTTCAGTGCATTTTTGTTGGTTTTGGAATGAACCAAGGACGTCTACGGCGTCAACTCCCTGGGAGAAAGCCTCCGCTTCGTGCTCAGCGGCTTTGGCGGTCGTCAAGTGCTGGTCATGGTTTGGCACCCATCCGTGCTGAAGGCACCGCAGCAGTTTATGGCCTGAGAAATCATGAGCCGCTGGTCATCGTCAGGGCCATGATCAGTGCCCGTGTGGCAGCGCAGGGTCTGTCTTTCTCTGTTCCTGCATGGTTCTTTCTTCATCTTTCTTCACTTTTTGCTGCTTCTGCGTCACATCGTCTCTGTCGCACTACACCCCCTCCTTGTTGTGTGGTTTGCAAGTTGAACCAGAAGTATTAGGTCTTTCGGCGCGTGTTTGTGTGTTTGCTTGCAGTTTGCTTGATCTGGTGGGTTTCTGGAAGTGAATGTCATTGGCCCACCCCTACCCCCAGGGCCCCCACCCCTATCTCCATGAAATCCCGGGGTCTTTCGGTAGGTGATTGACAACTTCCACCTGCACCGGCCGCCCATGGTATGGCCATCTCTGGGGCCCCACCTGGCTCAGTGACTTGGCGGCCCTATCCCCAGTCGTCACCATGGCTTTCTATACGAAGTCATGGTCCATGATGACTGATTTGGAGCCCCGGGAAACCTTATATGATCTCTATATTTTATTAATATATTGTAGGAATCATATATAGAGCCCCATCATATCCCTTATATAGTATTGACATAAAATATAACTAGTACTGGATTGATTCATTTGGGAGCCCAGGGGCATGGGATTTTTTCAGGGATTAGTTTTCCTGGACAAAAAAATATGAAATTCCTGACACCTTGATGCAGTGAAAGCAGTGAAAGCAGCCCAAGGTACTACGTGCGAAAGGAGTCTGATGCCTTCTTTGCAGACTTTGAAGGTGAGCATCGATCCACTGAGCAGCTAGGATTCAAAGGGGGGTGCCAAGTTGTTTGAATGTGCTTCACCATGCTTCACCTTGGGCTGGAGAGGGTCCAAATTTTCGATTACATGCCTAAATGAATTGGGATAAAGCCCAATCGACGAAGGTTTTCAGGTGGAAACCACCAACATCATCCAGTTTCGTAGTATTTCTGTGGTGCTTCCATTTACCTGGCTGATGCCAAGGCGCGTGAAGGCAGCCATTGAAAAGGGCACCCCACTGGTGATGGTCAATGTGATGCCGCAGCAGGATGCTGCCTGTGAGAGTCCAAGGGATAAACACATCGCTGTGGGGTGAATGGACTGGTCGCGCTCATATGGGATCCTTTGGTGTTGATGAGAAGGTTCGTCCCCTTGGTAGCGAAGTCCAAGCTTTTGAAATCAGGCTGTCATTTAGAATATGTTCAATAGATTCAATAGCTTTTTCATAGTCCTTTTAGTCCGGCCGTGAAGGAGTGCAACTACATCGCCATGGATGCTCGAATCAAGGTGAAGGATTGAGAGGCAGTGCGAGAGTGTGAGAGGGTCAGAGTATGTGAGGTAAAACCGTTTTTCAATTTACAGCACAACCACTGTCTAAAAATGTGATAACAAGTGCAAGGGTTTCGGACATGTGCACATCAAGAGGATGTTTAGAGAACTCAGTCGTGCTTGTTTGCAAGGTGTTGCAGAGACTGCAACATGAATGGTAAATGAGTGAACATAAATGCACAAATGCACCTGTACAAAGAATATGAAGCCGATTTCCCAAGCGTGGTGATGTTTTCCGGCCACGCTGTGCCGCGCATTTACAGAGGCGTTTCTTCAAACAGCTGTTTGACTGGCCTCTGGTGGCAGTGGCTTTCGCCCATTATAGTAGGTGGTTGTTCCACGTTTGGATCCTTTTGGGCCGAGGTTGCAAGGTTTTGTTGCACTTTGGCTGCTGCCAGGCTGCTTGTGCAGCCCTACAGCTCGGTTTATGATAGCAAATATTAGCAAATCATTGATTCAAAAAATTGATTGCTCGTCTCGAACGTGTTAAAACAGGAGAAGTTTGGAAAGCTTGAGCTAAAGGTAGGAATAAAGAACTCCTGAGAACACGATCAAGCTTACGGGTGGGAGTATCTTCACTTTGCCAAAGCTAAAGAATCGCGACATTCTGTGCCTTGATGCTTTGCTGCTGTGCAGTTTGATTGTGACGGCTTGCGTTTCTTGCTCAGAGAGATGTTTCCGTCATCACCATGATGGAAAGAAAACCCAATCATACCATATTTCAGTGGATGAACTTTCGCAACTACCAGCTACATCCAGCTACTTTGACGCCAGGGTAGGACCAATGCCATGGTCACCTTGACAAAGCTTCGTGCCTGGCGATGCTTTAGGAGTGCGGCCGCGGCCGATGCAGCTAGGCTGGTGCGAATGCCTGCGACGTTAAAGCTGTCCTCATTGGATGCAGCCAGAAGGCAGGTGCTGTGGCAGTCCAGGACTGGGACGTCTTGAAGATGTTGAAGTGCCCCGAAACTGAGATTCTCATAGATTTTCCTAAAGACTTTCAGAATGCCGGGCCGTGCTTTGCGATTGAGTAAAGGAGGATCATTTTTGTCCTCAATTGTGGTGTAGTCAGTGCAGTCCTTGTGCAGGACGCGGGAGTGGATGGAGATGAATTCCTTGTTGGGTTGCTTCGTTGAGTCCCACTTGGCAACCCTAAACGACGATCAGGTGCAGCAGCTGTCAAGGCTGCTGACTCACAGGGATGTGGTGCTGTACCCCTGGCTGGCGGGGAAGGCCCCAGTGCCGGCAGAGATGCTGAACGAGCCGAATGACCGGAATGAGGTCATGGTCATGTTGCTGAGGTATGTGAACCCCAAACATCCGGCCTTGAAACAGATCAGCTGAGCGTTTTGCTGAGCGTAAAGCAGAACCATGGAGGAGATGGAGCTTCTCTGCTCTAGGATCCACCTTGGCTCGAGGCATGTGGCATGGAGGGTGTGCATTGAAGCCGCGCTGTGGTGGATTCGCTGGGTTGGAAATCGTGCCAATGTACACTTGCGGTTGATGGCACATTTTCTGCAACTAGCTGGAGGTCTTCCAACAGAGTCCCCAGACTCCCTGCAGCTGGACAGTCAGGATGGATTGACACGCCATCGTCGGTGAAATGTGCGTCCGATCAGTTCAGAAACCCTTGTGCTGGAGACGCCGCTCAGGTACTTGTTGCAAAGACTGCTTGGAGTACCGCGGGAATTTTGGCTCAGGCAATTATATAGCCATATGAAGTGCATCCAAGGCATGGCAAGTTTAATTTGGAACAGGCTGTGGAAGAAGCTATATTTGAGCACTTGGAGGATTTGGAGCCAAATTCTGATCTGTAAGTCATGCAGGTCATACAGGTCATGCACATTTCTCTGAAAACCTGGCAATTTCAGCCCACGTTTTGAATCTTTCCAATACTTGGATGTTTGCATTGCCCCAATCCAAAAATTCGGTTCCTTTCGTCCAGAATATCAGAATATCAAGAATATCAACACATTCAGAGCCATCATCTATCTAGATACAGTTTGATATTTAGTGCCTGTCATTTGGTCGAAATGTGTCTAGACTTTCCCACCATCCATCACTTAACAGTTATTCGCCTCTTTGGCGTAGTTCTCCTGATGCCTGGCATGGACACAGTTGCGCCACTTGGGCTCGCTTTTTCAAAAGGGGAAACCATGGGAAACCCCCAAAATCCAGTGGTTCGCCCTCAGACAAAGCCATTTTTTGGTTGCCTAGAAATGATGTCCAGGAAAAAATGATCATCCAGATGTGGCCAAATGGGAGTTTGGATGTTCAGATCAGCTTGGATTGCCTAAAATCATGCCTAAAAATCCATATGCTGACCTCATAAAACCAGAGTGGAGCAGGAGTCCGGACTCTCAAAACGTGTGGCACGCACCCAGGCCATGTCTCCAGCCTGCAGAATTGTACTGCAGAGGTGGGATAGTGCTTCAAGCTTCCCACGGCATGGCAATTTCCACTCTTGCGGGACACCAACTTGCAGCAAAGTATTGTGTTAGCCTATTCCTCACAGATGCTTCACAGATGCATAATGACTTCTGCTATGCAGACACAGTGAGCAGCAGATAGCGGCAGCATCAGCAGTGCAATCAGCCAGAGATTCTCGGGTTTGGTGTTCAGCTTGCAGGATTACCAGCAATTCTATAGCAACTAGTCATGGAATGTACTCATCCTCAAGTCTCCAAACCCATCTTTCGCTGCTGGTCCATGTCAGACTTTTTGCAACCTTTGAGCCCGCATTGAGCACATATGCAGCCGATAGGAGAAGAGTTGGTTCCAAACGAGCTGTCGCCGCTGCATGCGAAGGCGGTTGTGGCTGTATTCAAATGTGTAGCGCAGTTCTTACTTCAACAAACTTGATGGAGAAATTCCACAGTTGAGAAGATTCTAATGTGGCAGATTGTGTTATTTGATGTTGTTTGTCTCTGTCCTATGTGTGGACACACATTGCCAGGTCTTGAGATACTTGGGCGAGGACCTGTGACTCTGACCTGTTGTCTGCGCAGTGGTGTGGCTTCCATTGCCAGTGCGAGGACAGATCCTACGTGTTGGCAAAAGCATCAAGTGAGTCTAACTACTGCAAACGGTTGTTGATGTTCCAAGTCTTGCATCATCATTCGTCTCTGTTCCCAGTACCGTTGGCCATAGTTGAATCGAGGAATTTGGAGGGACACATCCATGTCTCTTCCCCACAGCGCCAGGTCTCTCAAGCTGGACATGTCCATACCGCGAGAAGAGCGGGAAACTTGTTGCTGTGTCAAGGTACCCCATTGATTTAAGGATTTTTTTCTCCTGGTTTGTTGATGCAGATCCCAATATGCCCAATATCCAACTTGTCGCAATCCACTGTGACTCAGGTCCCAGTTCTTTATGGAGACCTGGCAGCTTGGTAGCAGCGTTTTTCACCAACGTTCCCTGGGAAAATCGGGGAGCCTGGGGAGACTTCACCCTTTCCCCAGGGCGGATTTGGCACCACTGGAGATGGAGCCGCCCAAGTCGCAGCCGCTGGAGCTGAAGACGATTCGGCTCCCGTCCCGAGGCCAGGATAGATCAATGGTGGCGATCAATGGCTCATATGACTGGGAGGTTAACAGGATATTAATGGAACAGGCACCATCAATAGGCCATGGCCATAGCTATTCAAAAGATTGTGTTGGTTTTTCCACAACATGAAAATAGGGTATAATGGATATGAATGGGATATGAATGGCATATGAATGGAATATTGATAGGGTACTAATGGTGGGTTACTATTGTGATGGGATACTATTGTCACGGGACATGAATCAAGATACATCATATCCAAAATGTTTCGTGGCTCTGTTTGAAAATGGAGGTGTGTACACGTCTGAGTATCTTCCCAAGGGAAAATGATGATCAACCATTGGGTTTTGGATGGTTTTGGGCTACAGGATTTTCATAGCCAAACCCCAAAAAATGGCTATGGATCAATAGCTAACACAAAAAACAGACCGGGGATACCATTGGACCATGGATACCGGGGGACGAAACATGGTCATGGCTGGGGGTAGCTCTCCAGCGGAAAAGGTGGAGACAGCAGCGACTGCGACGACTGCCAGCGCGAGCGCCTAGGGTATCTGGGTTCCACCTGGCGATTCAATTCTTTTTGAAACTGCCTGATAGAAAGGTAAGATGCTCATGGTCTGTAAAATTCCCTCGAAGTCGTGCAGTTTTTGTACTTTACATATGTTTGGGCTTTGAAATGGGCAGCCGATTGTGATCAAGATCTGGTTATGGTGAGTTTCTTTTGCCATTGGCATGCTGTATCAATCGTACTGGATGGTTGGAGCTACACAACAAGGCGAAGCAGCGAAGCAGCTCTAGTCCTTTGCTCACTTTAGTCATATTTTGAGTTTCCACATGTTTCCAGCAAAGTTGTTGAAAGCCAGTGGTAGAACCCAGTGGTAAGACCTAGTGGACCTATATTGTGATAAAAACCCAAGTGGTAGAACCTCATTCTCCGCAAGGTCTGTGGTTGTCCAGGAGCAACAGGACTGGGTGAAGGGCTGCAGTGGTCGCAATTGGACGCAATTGGACACCTCAATAAGATGCTTCACAGGTGGTGGTTCAATGTCCATTCCAGTTAGGTTTGAGAGCATGAAACTGGTTATGAAATCAGGCAGATGTCAAAAAATCAATGCCCCGAACTCCCATTGGCTCAATCTTTGGCTCAAAGTTTCTGACGCTTCCCCTCCCAGCCGTTCGGAGCTCAGCTTCCAGTTGGGTTCATGATGAACTGCTATGGTCCATCTACAGTTGGGTTCATGATGAGCAAATGGAGTATCCTGGAGTTATGTCACTGCTGAGGTGCCACAAAAAAACCCTCAGCAGCCTCAGCAGTTCATCATGCCCGCCATGCGCTTGGTTGCAGAGGGCGCTTGCCGAGTCCAAATTCTGGGACCTGAGGGGGAAGGAGCCAACTTCTTCATCGAATCACCTGGGGTTCACATTGAATCAACTGGATAAATCCTGGATAACTCCTTTCAATGCAATCTAGTTAATCTAGTTGCAGCAATTTGGCTTCAAGGATGAAGACGCATCATTTCGGAACCACATGAGTGTGAAACTCTAAATTGGTGAAATCAACAACTGCTGTATGGAACGCAAGTCCAACTCAACCTTTTCCCATCGCCGGGATGCTGGAGAGTGCTCTCCTTTGCTTGGGAAGCTTTGCAGCTGGCTGTTGCTCCAGTTGTGTCACTCGGGGCTTCAAGCGCCGTGTGCGGGGATCGAATCGGTCCATCTCTGCTGCGCGGAAGGGGCGCACCCTACTGTCCCCCAGACATGGCGAAATGTCCCCCACGTCTCCGCGGTCGCCAAGCAAAGCCACCAGCGTGGCAGAAAGCCGTGCGAGTGCAGAGAGTGAATCTGGGCATTTCAAAATATGGTGTAGGATGCTGTAGTAATGTTCGAGGCGGCAACCAGCCTCTCTTCTCACATTCACGAGGCTCTTGATCCGACCGCAAATCGTTTTTTTCCATTTATCCAGTTCTATCTCACCATCTTCCATTTCTTAGTCTCCTTTAACACCATGCACCCACCAAGTGGACTGGCCCTTGGGATCGGATGGATTGGGTAGGTTCCCTCCCAGGACCGTGATGCGGGAAATTTGTGGCGCAAAGCTCGCCACATCTTCGGCAACATCCTGCAGGTTCCCCAGACGCCTCGGAAGCGCTCGCGCCAGGCAGTCCCGCCGGACAACTGGCGTGGACGGAAGCTGGGAACGCGAAGTGATCCGGGGATTGGGAGATTTTGAAGCATCGAAAGCCTTGGCAACAGGATTTTGCGTAAAGTGCTGGTGTTGACCATCCAATTTTTGGAATTGAACGGATTGAACACCTCAAGGAGTCCAAAGCGCCTGACTCTGACTGGTTGATCCCCGAACCATCTGGCACCAAGCGTGCGGTGAGGATCTGGTCCTTCAAACTGCGCGCGGGGGCTTCCGCGACTGTGGAAGCACGCTTCGAAGATGATGGGGCGCATTGGATAGTGATCATGAAAGACAGAGGACCTGGCATTGATGTGACACTGGGCATGCAGGATAGACACACATGAGTGGTCATGAGTGCATTTTTCTTCGGACTTGGTCTTAGGATGTCTTAGGTCCAAAGTCTTTGAACAAGTTGATCAGAAGTATCAGAAGTTGTGTGTGTGATTCTTGAGGTAGTCGGGGTCGTGTCAGCTGTATCCACTGAGGAAGGCTGTCCTCCTGACAGATGACGGGGAGCACGAATTGGAGCATGAGACGGGGCAAAGTTTCCATGGCCAGACGCCTCTGTGTGAGGGCGAAGCAGTGTTGCAACTTCACTTCCGTAATGGCCATGCATCCTTCACAGAAACGTGGCGGCAAAAGCACGCAAAAGCCAAGAAAGGACAGCTTATCGGGTGATGTGAGATGCAACTGAGTTTCTCTTCGGACTTGTTGGTACTTGTGGGGTCTTGGAATCACAGCTATGAGAGTTGGAAGTTTCTGGAGGCAGCGTGACTTGCATTACTGAGGAGCGACAGGTGGAAGTGAAGATGTTCCTTTTCCGTGCCGGATCTCGGATTGGTGAGCACTCCTTTGTTCAAGCTGTCGCTCGCCAAACTTTGGTACTCTTTGCCCAGTTGCCTGACCTTTCCCATCCTTTCCCGGTTGATGTAGGAAGTGTAAGCTGAGGTGATGCTCAAGTGGATCTCAGATGCGATTCACCGTAGCTTCCTCCGCCGTGATGTGAAGCTCAAAACCGACAGCCTCGCCGTGGTGGAGGCGCTTACCCCCAAATTCCCATGGGTTTCATGTGGAGCATCATTTGCCCTGTTAGGATCTGTTAAAGTGGCCATTTTGGGATATCCTCCCATTTTTTGGGAAAACCCATCATGTGTTGCTGGTAAGTACAACGAACAACAGCCACTGTGAGATCTGACAGCCCTGTAGGTGGAGCGGGTGATGCATGATACGCTGTGGGAACGCTACGTAAGGCGGCGCAAGTCCATCCTGATGCAGCTTGGCTCTGCCTGTGGCTGGTGAGATTCGCAGAGTTTCTGAATTGTCGAAGGGACTGGGTTGCAAAGAAGATTTGCAAAGACTGGGAAGATCTTTTGCAAACATTCAAGGACTTGAATGAAAGGTCTAAGTGGATCTGCAAATCCAAGTAGGTGAGCTATCCAGTTCTTTCACTAGTTGCGTTCCCAACCTAGGCAGCTGTCACAGCAGTCCAACGAGCACTTTGCCCATTCAACCACTCGCTGCGAGATGGTCACTGATGCACTGGTGCCTTTGCCGATCTCCCAAGCTGCGAATGAACACTGGCTGTTCCATGGGAACCTTGGCGGAGGGAACTTCAAGCTGTGGGGAAAGGATGGTTAAGACAGGTGGAACGCTGGGGATATGAAGACAGGTCTGGCTATGTCAATGCTATGTTTGGTTACACAAATCATTCATACCGTCATACCTGTGTATTGCATGCGGGCTTTCTTTCGAAGTGCATTCTGAGATATTCTGAGCTCGTGTAGCTGCCACTGTCCCAAGTATCTTTCCACCAAGGACCTCTGCCACCAACGTCCTCTCAATCTTTGAGGACGGCTTTCAGGATCAGACTCAGTTGGCACATGGTGCAGCCTTTGGCAGCGGGATCTACTTCACTGAGTGTAGCTCCAAAGCCGATATGTACACCGAACCTGCAGAGCATACCGAGGTGGCTCACTTTTGTTGGACGCTTTTGCTGGGTGTTTGACTGAAGGTGACTGAAAGTTCAGATGACGCAAGGACCTTGAAAGATACAAGACCTTCAGGACAGGAAAATCAAGGATGAGCAGTTCATGTCACTTTTTCCAGTGTTTGCAGTGTTTGCTACATCCCAAATGGCAGGTTCATGACCATGGTGGTCTCTGCTGCATGCTCCTTTGCCGAGTGACCTTGGGCCGTGCCAGAAAGCTGGACTCGGAGTTCCATGTGGACAAGCATCAGCTGCAGGAGGCAGTCTTCTCCATGGGGTCCATGGGTTGGTGACGGTTGGTGGAAAACATTTTCAACAATCAGTGTATCCTGGAGTGTGCGGGGAGTTGGGAACCTCCAAGTATCCAAATACGCGCTTGAAAGCAGGAAAAAAACTTAACGAAGTTAAATTAAACTTGGTTTGCAACGTTTGCAGATGTCATCGGTGCTTTTAAGCAAACATAAGCAAACCATCCCGGGATGTCCCAACTAGCGACTCCAGTGAGGTCATGGCTACTGGCCACTATCACTCAGTACTGGCTGATCGTGAGCGGCTGTTCTCCTCCTATCGCGAGTTTGTGACACCTGCAGATCAGGTCTATCCGGAGTTTTTGATTTGGTATGAGCGACACCAGAAATCCGCCATGCAGCAATGGAAGGATCGCAACTGGGGCGGCGATCTGTTTTAAGGTTTCCTGGAAAGAGCGGGAAAAGCTGGCCTTTCAGGGTCTCAGACTTCATTGATTTCGAAGCTTTCACGGATTCTGCGCTCAGCAGAGGCTTGTTGCGCTCACTTGTCTAGCAACGTGGCTGCGGAGCAAGAGCTTTTATACCTCGTCCTGTAAGGGACTTTCCTTCGTTGAAGACAGCTCCGTACGTCTCATCCCCATGTGGATCTTTCTCTCAGCGCATAAGAATTTTCTAAGAACTTTCTAAGCAGAAAGATGCAGAAAGATAGGCCTTGCCAGAAAAAATGGAGAAAGTCTGCGTGTCATTTGTATACAACCTGAGCAGGGATGCGACGAGCGAAGCAAAACAATCGGTGGGAACATGAGCTAATTGGATGCCAACCGGATTGGAGGATGCACCAGTCCAAACATGTCTAAACTGTCCAAACCATCCTTCTCAAAGTTGGAATTCTGATGCACAAGTCGCCCAAAATCACTTTGGTTCAGGAAGTCCACCGTTGAATATCTGAGGTGGCACGCAGCGCTACACCAGTGTTGGGGCCCCCAGGGGCCCCCAGAGGGGCCCCCAGGGCAGGGTGAATCACTGAAGTGCCTCAATTATCAAAATGGCTGGGGCACCAGGGTTTTTCATCTAGAGAGATTTCATATGATTTCATGATCTCTCTCCGTTTTGAGTCCAAAGCTGAGAGGGGGCGTTTCCAAGGCCGAACCTGCGGCAGAGCTACATGCCCCAGTCATTCACCCAGCTTCACTTGTACCAAGAATCTCGGTGAACAACAAGCTCGGATGACCCCACCATGGAGAATCGCGCGGTGTGGATTCCTCACAAATAACAATACGTGGTGATGATGATGATGATGATGATGATGATGATGATCCTACTCATCATCCAATGACCCCAGCATCCCCATATCCCCCCTATCCCAACCTGGTAATCTTCAACCTTTCCAGAGGGACATCCCTAAGGCCAGCTCCGGCGGCTCATGTGCCATGCTACCATGCAGAGAAGCTGAGACAACAGCTTCAAGCCAAGCAGCAAGCCGTCCAAGCCTCAAGTACTGCAAGTGCTGAACCGGGAGAAATTGTGCTGGTTGCTGATGTTGCTGGTTTTTTGATCTGGAGTGGGAATTGGATTTGGGTGACTATCCCCAGCCGAACTTTTCAGATTGGTGAGTTATTGCAATTGATTCATTGGGCCTTGGCCATTGCAAGCGTTTGGCAAGATGCTGGAAGCTCTCTCAGATGGTTTTTCCAGATACCCCAAGAGTGAAGACTGGAGTTCCCGCAACTCTCCATAAGTTGCCAAGTCTCCAAAGCATCGCTGCAGATTCGTGTCATGGAGCCCTTCCGGAAAGTCAATGGAGAGTGGGTTGGAAGTCCCAGGGAGCTGAGGTCAGATCCAATAGTTGCTGGCAGTCACGTGGTAAAGAGTGTCAAAGGTGGCATGTTTCACAGTTATCGCAAATCCCAAAAAGATAGAAGTTGAAGTTGGTAAAATCCAACTCAAATAGTGGCAACGGACTTTTCGATCCTTTTGCAGGCTTACCATTGTATGTTGTCAGAAAAAAAGCAGTCTCGTGAAGTCCTTATCAGTCATTGAGGTGGACTACTGGAGCGAGTATCATCAGCCCCCTGGCATTGAGCTGTGGATGGTAGCTATTGAGCCATGGTCCAGAGACGTGGCCGGAGATATCCCTAGTTTCCACCTGTTGGATCGTCGGTCAAACTTGTGAGGTGCTGGATTCCTGCCTCCATCTTGGACGTGGATCCAGAGTTGGGGGCCACGGACGACAATGTGAAACTGTCCAAAACAAGGATTTCCTAAGTCTGGGGGTACCCGTAAATCACATTTTTTTTTTTGCGGGGGATTTTCCATCATAACCCATCTATTTTGGGGTACACCCCATGGAGACTGGAGAGCAAATGGCCACAAACCAGGTCTGGTGGCATCGTGCTGGACGTGAAGCCTGGCACAGTTGACATCTCAGAGGGCCGGGTGCAGCTGGGTGCCCCTGCAATTGCTGCAAGCAGTGTACAAAATCAACATGATCCAACCAAATTTTCGGGACTTCACTCCATGTTCAAGGATTTCTAGCGGAAATATCTTGACATGGCCCTTGGATAGCCTTGGATGGTTTTGGATTCAAAAATCAACAGGTGGTGTTTTCGAAACCTCTGGGGCCTCCAAGGCCTTGAGGCTCCACGACCAATGGCGGGTGCGGCCACGCCGCATGCCCACGCCCGACCAGGTGGGCATTGTGACAGGTGATGTGCCGGTGATCCTTCCCCATTTGGGGCTTCCAAAGATCCAACCCATGTTTTTTTTGGGGTAGTGTATTTAATAGTAGGGGGATAGGGATGGGATATACTTTGAACGACTTTTAAGCTCCAACACCTGAGCTTGAAAGCCTTCAAGTATCTCCCTCTCTCTCTCTCTCTCGGATGTTCAAGTCCTTTTGCACAACTGCAAAAACAATCGACAGTCAAACATCACAGGATTAGATTCTCCCACGTCACTGAATCATTTGCACTTAGAAGATGCCTCAGGTGTCAGCTGTCCATAAGATGCTGGCGAACGTGGAGTTAGAGATTCAAGCGGAAAGGCGCATCGGCGTTTTGCCGTGCATCGGCATTTCGCGGATGCAGACGTTGCCCAGCTGATCGCAGGTTCTTTCATGAAATCGGCCGCAACAAGATTGATGTCAGCCACAAACTCAGGGAGGATGTGTTCCCCCAGGTTGGGTTTTTGTCACGGCAGAGACGAATAATGTCGAATAACATGAATAAGAGACGATGCGGACAACGACAACGACGATGATGATTGGGTGATTTCGCGAACTGTTTTTTTTTTTTAATTTGATGCGATCATGTGCGATCCACGTTTTCGGGGTTTGACAGCCCCAGTGCCTGTAATCTCCAGCTTCAGCGAGAACGCAGTGGTTTCTCCATGTTTCTCCCACTCGCCCCTGAGTTCAGCGCAGCGAAGAAGTCACAGTTCTTGGAGAAAAGGTCAACAACTTTGTTGGTCTCTTGGGGTGCCAAGTGCACCTGAAGGCTGGATGGCCGTGGGCCTGAACGGCTCAAGTCATTTCGGTATCTACTGGGGCTATGTTTTGAGGAGAAAACATGCCTTTTCTCTTTCAGTTGCTACTGGAGTTTCACGACCAAACTCCTGTTGTTACGGTTGGCGACATGCCAGTTTTGACCGCCATGAAGCAGGTGAAGTTTCAATCGCAAAACTGCCTGACGTTGGGACCCAAGGCTGCAGCCAGCATGCGGTTTCTTCGCCTAGGATTGCGTCGCATTTCTGCGTGGTAATGGTATATTTGTGCAACAACACTTACTCATTGGAAGATTAGAGAGAGTGTATGGCCTTCTTGCGGCTCTTGCGGTGACTCCAAGAAACAAAACATATCAATATAAAAAAAATAATTAACTTCGAACCTCAGTCTGCGTTTTTTGTCTTTCTGGCTGATGATTTGAGGTTTGAAGACTTCCGTTCACTCTTCTGGGATATCGCCCACCTCCAGCAAGACATGTCAGTCCAGGTGCGACGTTGTTGTGCTTATGGCATAATGGTGCATCGAAAGTGTCCCCCACCCTGTAGACAAATATCTCATGTAATGGGTGAGAAAAATCAGAATATAAAAAATCCGCCAAAAGCTTGAGTCTTCCAGCTTCCCAGCTGTTGACATAAAGACTCGAAAACGGACCTGGAGGGAGTCGAGCCCTCAAAGACATGAGCTTCAAGTCTTGAGCAGACTTCAAAGACAACGCTACACCCATAGGGCAACAGGTCCTTCTGCTTGACAAAAAGAAATCAAAATCCAATGTTTGGTTGCTGGTAAATGGGCATGGTTGCCCTCCAACATGGATTGCAAATGCTACATGCCACTGCATAGAATCATGCTTTAAAGAGCCTGATGTTTGAACTAAATGGAAACCACGACTGTCAAGCTCAGAACAAAACATAATCGACAGTAGCGACAGCATGTCTTTCCTTTTGACTCTGTAGTTGGGAAGTTTTGACCTTGGGATTGTTTCAGCCAGGTAGCTGGGTTTTTGCCAGAGGGAAACCACTTTAATTCCTAATCAAGATATAGCTTATAGAGGCTGCAGCCACTGAGTGGTTTCTCAGGCACTGCAGAAGGAAGTGGCTGAGAGCGCCATTTCGGGCACACCTGACAGCAAATACGACATATGTCCGTGGCTCAGGGTTGTAATTTGCCCAATGATTGTAACCATCCCCAATTTTAAAAATCCCCAAAATGATACATCATCCCCAATTTTAATGATACATTTCCCCTAATTTGCCCAATGGGGTTGTCCTTTTGGGTTTCAACACATGACCAGTTTCAAAGTCATCTAGCCCCTGATGAAGCCGGGCTGGAGACCAGCCTCAGGTGAGACCTTGGGCAAGGGCACCTATGGCGAAGTGGTGAAAGCCAAAGACAAACGAACCAGGTGGTGCTGGGGTGGCGCTAGGTGATCTTTAATGGGATGACCATGGGATGACCATGGGATGACCATGGGATGACCATGGGATGACCATGGGATGACCATGATTTTGGTAGTTGTTGGAGGTTTAAGGGCCATTAGGAATATCTATAAACGCAGATTTTATTCATATATATATATATATAATTATATACACATTATACACATACATTTCTTATCCATCTTGTTATATACCCCATGCTGAAGGTACCAATTGGAGATTCCCCGAGTCACCTCCAAACTTTCCACGCCCGTAAGCTTGGTGAGTTTGATTCGTTGTGTTCGTCCATTGAACAATTGCCCCATGCGCATGTTGGGTTGTATTTGTTTAATAATGGGGGTACTTTCTCCAAACTACAATGGTGGTGTCGCACCACACCCCGCACATGTATCGATCCCTTGTTGCATGAGTTTCACAACCGACAGAAACAAACCGTGGAAAATTTGCTGGGGACCCCCATCTCTACTCACCAATGGACGCAAGCTAAGCTCCCTACCAAATTTGGTGGCCTTGGGATTATTGCCCCCCGTACCGAGATAGGGTTAGATATTGTTTCATTGGCTGATATTGCCTTTCTAGCGGCCCATCGCCGTGCTGTCCCCCACGTCCAGGAACTGGTGCCCATGATTCCCGAGCAGATCTTGCGCGCGTGCGAAGGGCCCTCCGTCCAACACCTTGGCGCCTGCTTGCCCCAACTCGCACCCCTGTTCCGCGACCCCGCCGCCTTTGTCAATCATCGTGATGTGTTAGAACACCTGCACCACCAAGTCTTTGGGGGATTGATGCAACAGACTGACCTGTGCGGCCAAGCTCGCTTAACTGCCTATTCTGCCCCATCTGCTGACGCCTGGCTTCGGGCCACCCCATCCCATAACCAAGATACCTTGCTTTCCAACGCTGCATTCCGCGATGTTCTTTCTATGCGGTTGGGAGTTAAGATTTTTGATGATGGTATGGCGTGTTCTTTTTGCCAGCAAAATCTTGACCGACATGGCCACCACTGCATGGGATGCATGGGGCAGGGACATAAACAACAAATGCACACGTGTTTTTGCAATGTCGTCCACCGTCTTGCCGTACGCGCTGGCGCGAGACCCCTCCTCGAACCCGCGAACTTGCTGCCCGATGCTCCGCAAACCCGGCCTGCCGACGTTTTGATTATCAGTCTTCCCGATGTGCAACAGTCATCCTGGCGTCGCTTCCCCAAGCTTGCTCTCGACTGCGCTATCACTTCCCCTTTCCAGCACAACACCATGCGCCTTGCTGCTGCTGCGCACGCTGCTGCCGCGGATCGGTACGCTGATTTGAAGCGCAAACATGCTGACATGCGAGCGCGGTGCGAGCGCCAAAACGTTGGTTTCGAGCCGTTGGTCCTTGAGAGTACTGGAGGGTACCATGGCGACACGTGCAAACTTTTAGAATCTTTGTGCAAAATTGTAGATGCTAAGGAACACCTCCCCCCAGGTCACTCTTGGCAGGAACTGCGAGTCCGTTTGTCTATTGACCTACAGCGAGGCTTGCATGGAGCCTGTATGAAGCAACGCCTTCGCAGCGAGACCAGCAGGTTGGCCCTTCATGAGGTTGGATCGGCCTTTCTGGCCACATGCCTGTAGGTGTCTTCCGCGCTGCTGCTTCGTGACTGCGCCAGCTGCTGCTGCTTCCCGTCCCGCCCCTGCTGCTTTCTCCGACACGCCTGCGCCCAGTGAGTCCAGTGAGTAGCCGTGGTGTTACCCTAGACCTTGGGGTAAGCTTCTGTGCTGTTTGCTTCTGGTGGTGAGGTCTCTGCACGCCTGGCGGGGGGGTGTGCAGGTTCCTTTTCCCACGTCAAGTGATTCCTTACCCCTTGAGCAATGTTTGTCACGGTTTGCTCCCTACGGGAGAGTGTCACCACTGGCAGGTTTTTTTCCCTCTTAAAGAGGTTTTTCCTGCTGTCAGCCCGCTCAGCCCAATGTCTTGTTATATATATATATATTATATATTCATAATTGTGATAATAATAACAATAACAATAACAATAACAACAATAATAATATTATTATATATTATTATACATACACATTTCTATTATATATTTCTTGGGTTGATGTTGAGGAAAAACCATGCCAGGCAGGTGAGAGCCATCAAGATCATCAACAAAGAGAAGGCCCGGTTTGGCGATGTGGCCATGTGAGAAGTGGTGATTGAAGCCGCTGTCAAACAATTGCTGCGCAGGTGCATGGCGACATGGAATTCCTGAAGCAGGAGATCCAGAACCTGATCCAGCTGGATCATCCACACTTCGCGGCTTCAAGTTTGCCGAAGGCGGAGGTTTTTTTCCTTCAGTTCCAGCTAAGTAGCATTCCTCCAGAAGGTCTCCAAGTTGACTAAGGTCCTGAAGCTCTTGGAGTTTTACAACAGCCAGGATCGAGTCTTTTTGGAGACCCTGGCTTGTTGCCACCTCTAGTGAGCGTGCATGGAAGGGTTGCAGCATATGATCGCAAGAGACAATACTGTCGATTTGATAGCCGTAAGATTAAAGTGGCGTTTGTCAAAAGTAATAGCAATGCTTGTTTTGATTCATCAGCCTTTGCCGCACGTTTGTCACTGCGTGGTATTTGGTTTTACAGATGATTTCTGACTTCCAACATCCTCCCAGTCCTCCCAATCCTCCCAAACCGAAAGTGTGCCAGGTGACTGATCACTGCTCCCGCGGGGAGCTTCACAAGCACATCTGCCAGGGCCACAGCGGCCACAGCGGCCACAGCTGGAGCTGCCATAGGAAGCTGTGCTCAGCTGGGCCGCGCTGTTCTCAGGTGATGCCAGGAACAGCAGGAAGCGCATCCCTGAGGCGTCGCCTATCATCATTGGCATTGATTTATAGTTTATACAATTGTCAGTTCTATGATTGTTATTATCATTGTCATGACTGCATGACTATTAGCACCTTACGATTTAATTATAACAACAATTATTGTGATTATAGTAGACAACAACATATTAATATAACAACATATAACACACTATAACAACCATCATCATATGATTGGTTATTTATGGTTATTTATTAATCAGCCAACCTGACTTGGCTGCTTCCCTGTGTGCCAGGCCTGGATCGCTCACGTCATGCAGCAGGCGGGGCGTAGGCCGCGGGGCGAGTTCCAACAACTTGCCAGGGTGACCGGACATCAAACGTGGCTGGAAAATTCCCTATCAATGGTTTATATACATGGCAGTGTGTCAAAACCTTGTACCCCTGTAGTTCACATCAAAATAGCTGGGATTTATGGATGTTCATTCCCCTAAAAATGGTATTAATAGGTATTGATCCATACCCACATGGAATTTATAGGGTATGTTCCAGCCATGGTTATTTCATGTTATTTCCCGTAATTATGTCCCATCCATTTATAGATGATGTTGTTTCCCATTTCCCTCTGGTGATGACTAACATAGCCATGGAACATCACCATGCTATTAAGAACGGTAAACCATCTATCAATGGGCCAATTTTCCATGGCGAACTGTTAGTCATAACCAGAGGGTAATGGGAAACAACATCATAAATGGATGGGACATGAACAAAACTGAAGAAGGTTTTGCCTTTCTGGCGAACATGGAGAATCCCTGTGCCGGGAGGAAGATGTTTGCACTTTGTGGCCGAGGTTCTATCAGCAGTCACTCACATCCATGCCAATGGCATAATTCACCTGGACATCAAGTCTCAAAACATCATGCCGCAGTCTCAGAGGAGCCCCGGAGACCCGGTGATGGTGTCGGCTGAAACCAGGTGCGTGCCCCTGAAAGCTAAGGTTGATGCCTGCGTTGGCCACCAAGGCACAGTTCCTGCAGGGCGGCAACAAGGAGTGGGTGAGTCATGCGGATATTGGGAATTCGTCCGTGACACCGAATAGATCGGAGCCGCCGCATTCCCAGCCGCGCAGGAGGTTTGCTCCAACGATGTCTTCAGGGAGAAGCTCGCATGCAGCTGTTGATGCTGTTGGGTCATGATCCCCCAACGGTTGGGTCATGCTGCAATTGGGCACTTCGCCATGATGGAAAGCTGCGGCTGACTGAGGATCCCTCATGTCATGGTCATTGACCTGGGCGTGGCGGGGGACTCAGCTGTGCTGTTTTGGTCAATGTGGGGTTTTCAGCGTCCATTCAAACAGTTTGACATGGAGCAATCGACCGAACTGAAAGGTAAAATTTGACCCAAGTTGCTCAGATATACGCAATGTGGTAAACCCAATAATAAACCTACCATTCTTTTTTGGGTAATATCAGGGATTGTTTATCACTCGATTTACCATATTAATCCCATTCATTATCCATTATTTTTCCGTTATTAAACCACTCTTAACTCCCTTTCTGGTTGGTTACACCGCTATCATTCAACGATTATCATCCCATTCTTTATTCAACCACTATCATTAAACCACGTATTACACCGACATACCCCCAGCCATCTTCGCTGTGATTCTTTAGGCGACCATCTTCCAGCCAGGGAATTTCAAGCGTGGCAATCCCATGGGGACGCCGGCCACCATGGCGTGCGGGGGCCAAGGGGCGAAGGTTGTGGTGGTCGAACTGGTGGATTGAGATGATCCAAAGAACAACAAGTGGTGATCACTTTGAATGAACATACGGCACGGTCAGTGAACAATCCAGGGATGAATCCAGGGTTGACCTGTAAATTCTGTGAAGTCATGTGAAAATCATTGGCAATCCAGCCGTCCAGCCATGTTTTTTTGCACAGAAAGGGCATCTGCGGCATCCAACCATTGGACCAAGCCGGAGATCTCTCTCCGATGTGGTCAGGCCGGAAGTCTGGCGTGGCGAGATCACCCCTAAGGTGCGCCTTGGCCCTGCAGGGGGTCCTGGGTTGCTGGGATTCACCGATCGGCTCACAGTCACCAGACGTCCAGGCCGATGTCTTCAGCTGCGGCTGCGTTCTGTTTGAACTGCTTAGTTGGTCTCTCAGTTTCAACGCTCGCACAGATATCAGATATCCAGCCCATTACAGCCTCACTGTGTTCGGATGTGGGCTGGTTCATTCGCAGCACGAGACACCACTTGAGGCTTTCACATGCCCTGGGACTTTAAGTATCGTGTGCCTCTGAGCAGGGCAGGTTCGGTTGGTTCGGTGTGCGCTTTTCTGACTCACAGCTTAGGCTTCTTAGGCTTAGGCTGGCGGCGTACCGAGCGGCGTACCGAGGTGGTAGCAAACAAGAAGCCCGAGACTTCTGGGATTCCAAGCCGCGACCGCGCCTCGTAAGAGTCTCAGATGTCTCAGTCTGTGGAGATTTTACGAGTTAAGTTCCAGGCTTTTTCTCGCTGAAATTTAGATTGAATTTATATGATTATTATGATTTTATCAGAGTTTCAGGTTTCTTTCTGAAGTCTAGAATTTCTTCTTTGTCCCAATGATGACATGATGGCTTTGATGCCACAGCTAACAGCTTCCAGGAACGGATCCAGCATTCGCCCCCCGATGCGACCACGATGATGTTGAAGATGCTGGAGCAGGAGATACATCAGATCACCCGATGAGAAAACGACTGCCGTTTGGGGAGTTTGGGGAGCTTGGCTTTTTGTGCACCACTTGTAGAAACCATTTCTGACTGCATAATGACATACTAGATGACATACTAGTACCATCTACCATCTTTTGCATACTATTCTCATACTATTACCATCTATTAAATCCATTACCACTATTACTGTGGGGGATCAGATCCCCTGCTTTCGTTGAAAAAGTGCAGGATCGCCCCAGCCGCGTCACGGCGGCTGAGGCTTTGAGGGAAGCCTTTGTGCAACGGGTCGCTGGGCGGAAGTGTTTCATGGGACCCAGAAATTGACAGTTTATCTATGTTTATCATCATTTGGATGTGGGTCAAAATGGAAGACCTAGGGGACCACAGATGTTAGTCTAGTTTAGTATTAACCATCCAATTATTGGGGTACCTAATTTTGACCCATACCCATTTGTCATTTGTCATTTGTCCTATAACAATGGCCACAACATGCCGCAACGGTTTTTTTTCCCCATGTTCAGGCACCTATAATTCCTATAAATTGGTTGAAGTTTGGATGAATTGATGGACGAGTTGCTGAATTGAGATGAGGTGGATCTGGTGGATCTGCTGGAACCCGATATGTTGGTTGGTTGTTTTGAACACGTCCCAACAGTCCCAACATGTTTTCCGGTTCATACGGCCTTGCTGAAGGAAACATGTGCACTGGGCCGGTGGTCCATTCAGGGAGCCAAAGAAATTGATGCCGCAAGTCTGTCCAGGTTTGCATCACCTAGCCATGTGGAGAGATTCTATGAGCATTACTTGCAAAGGGCTGTCAAATTTGAATAACATGTTTTGAGACTTTGAGGGTCCTTTCGGATCCCTCATTGCACATCCTGAGGCTTCCGATGCCATCCCAGTCACTCAGATGGACTGCGGGCTGGGATGACTCGTTTGCAATCTGCGGCTTAGCATAGACCTCTTCTGGGTGCGTTTCCTCCAAGAAATGAAGATAGAGATAAGAGACCATCCAGCCATAGTTGGAATAGAAGCACACATATATCGGACTCGTATAACTTATACATATATATATATATAATTACGAGCATAACGTGTTTTACCGCCCCCACCCAGTGTTTTCAAGTATTCTATATGTGCGCGTTTCAGAGATGTTGTGCGCGTTTCAGAGATGTTGTGCACGTGTCAGAGATGTTGTGCACGTTTCCCAGCAGTTGTGCACAATTCGCAGAAGTCGCGCACGTTTCACAGAAGTTGTGCACGTTTCTCAAGCCCCCTTTTTTTTTGTTCGTGTTCAACTGCATTGGGGCGACCCACATTCTCCCGATACACCTGTGATATAGAGATCCTCTCAGGTGGTGCCAGTTCTGTTTCTTCCCGCAGGAGAAAGGCTTGCGCCTGGTGAACCGCTTGGTCACGACCTGCGAGCGCGATGTGACTTGGCACAGCAACCAGTTCTTTGGCGGTTTCCTAAAATGGTCCCGAAGTCACCATAGGTTTATATATATATATATATACCACAGGTTTATATACATATATATATATATATACATACACCATAGGTATATATATATATTATATAATATTTATAATATTTTATAATGTTAAGTCATTCATGGTCTAATGACTGGATGATTTGGGGCTACCCCCATGGGAAACCTCAGCAAGCCAGAGGTGACCTGATGGAGTCTCATGAGAACCCAGGCATTCTACAAGCTGATTTGCCTCAAGATCGCTCAGGTCTCCTGTCTTTCCAGATTCAGCAATTGACCAGCTCAACAACCAAGTAATCCAATAGCAGTACTATCCAAAGGAATCACTCATTTAATTTGATTGCATTTGTGACATGGAAGCATTCTGCATTGGTGGATGCACCCACATCGAATCATCAGGTCTTTACAGCCTGTTTCAAGACTAATTGCACCAGGAGTGGCCGCCAAATGAAATGCCATCTTTTAAGGGTGTCTTCAAGGAGCAGCTGATCCGCACCAGAGGGTGGGAGTGTTCATGTTGGATCATGTTGGATTCTGTTGGTTACATAGGAACCACACTGGCATGGATGGGGTACTTTTTCGGCGTTGCATCCAAAATCTGAGCAAAGACACATCGTATTTGCAGAAAGATGAAACGTGGTGAGTTCAGAGGGTTGACCCATGGATGAAAACCAGCCAAGTGATATGATCGATCGATACATCGATGGAGGCTGTTGATGATCCCCAAGGCTCAGTGACGCCCAGGTTTGACGACGAAGGGACTGGCATGTTGCAGGAGTCCGTCTTGGTCCGGGAGCCCAGTGCCCACAACATCTCACAACTAGGGCTTTGTGTCATGAACAAGATGGGTCCAAGGAAGGAATTTCCTCCTGAGAATAGGTTTCAATTCGGTTTCAAGTTTCAGCGTTTTCTTCAACTGGTGGATTTGGGGTGTCAAGTCTTGCATGTCTCAGCATAGGTGCTGTCCCATGACCTGTGCAGCTCCATGGTCGAGCTTTCAAGGTGAGAAAGTTTGTAAGTTGTGGCTATGACGAGCAGCAATCCAAACGTCTGGATTCCCGATTGACGGGTTGACGTGACCAGTGATGGTTTTGTAAATTGACTTCATAAATAAGAGAGGAGGGGATGGTGAGACCCATAGGGTTTTTGGACTCTTCTTGACAGGGTCCTTCTCTAAGTATTGGTGGCATGATCACAGTAGCTTCAAGGCAAGTTTGGGGATACTGCAGATTGATTTCGGAGTCAGAGATCCAAGTGCAACATGGAAGAAACTGATGAAAATTACTTTCGCAGCCACCACTCCAATCTGTAGTTGTATCATGTTGTATCATGCTGTATCAGTGAACATATGGACCCAAACAGAAATGATGAAATTCTTGGCGGTGAAGAGGTGCCGCTGCAGCTATGAACTTGAGCCAGAACAAAAATGCTGTCGTCGGGCCCTTACTGGTCGTTGTGTCGCCACAATGTGATGGCTTGAACATTGCCGTTTTTCAGTGTGGCAAATGCATAAGTCCATATCATATCATCATCCTTGAAATTCCTTGAATAGAAATAACATCCCCACATTTCTTATTTCCTATTGGGCATGATCCAATCACACTTTTCTTCAATGAGACTTTGTTTGATTTCTGGGGTCAACCAACATAGATAGTCTTGTCAGCCCGCAGGATTGGACGGAATTTGTGGCGGTCCGCAGCCTAAAGCATGCACGGGGTTTGAGCTTTTCTGGACAGTTCGCATGTAGCCTAGCTATGGCATATCCAGAGGGCAAAATCTTGATTCTCTAGGTGCCATTTTTTTCCCCTGGAGGGACAGTTCCCAGTTTGTAGTTTGTAGACGTAGCTAGTCTGAATTCACATGAATTCTCTACCAGAATCCTTGAAATCTGAGGCCTGCATCGACTTGGGAAGCCCAACGATTGAGCCATGCATCCAGATGATCTTTCAGACTGCTGACAAGGCGGACAGTGCTTTTCAAAAAGCGGCAGTTCCCACTTGGTTTGGAAAAACAAGAAACAACGACTTGATATCACTTGATGGGGAACCCATGAATTTCCAAAGCAGTTGCCATGAACATCATGAACAAAGATTAAGAATGATTAAGATCTTTGCAAAAGATGATCTTTTGCTTAGGATGCACAGTTTTTTTTTTTCGCTGCAAAGATCACTCCTGACGTGTCCGCTGAAAGGACCGAGATGGGCTCCTGTCGCTCCAGGACGTTCGGTCGCTGCTGCCCGAGGCAAGATGTGCGGATGGCTTGAAAAAATGGGGATACAAATAGGACATTTATCGAAATGTAATATATGGAACATCCATGGGACATTTAAGACTCAACAGTCAGTTCCAACATCTACGAACAGCTTCCAACGTCTAAGTGAGCTTTCAGACTGGCAGAATAGTGACATAAACTTTGCCATGTATCCATCCTATATCCATCCTGAAAGCTTGCGATGTCAGGGACATCGAAATGCCAAGGAGGCGCGGCGGATGTCTGACAGAACAGCCAGGCTCAGCCGCTGAGCTTTCTGACACGCTGATGGCTTTCCAGGCAGCTCAAGCCATTTTCCTGCAAATCACAGGTCGAGCGCATGGGCCCTCAGTTGCCATTTCATCTCGTCATATCTCGTCCTTGGGAAGCATCAAAGCCATCCAAAGCCTGAAAGTTTCTGCAAGGTCTGAGACTGGAGCGCGAATGGATTGGCACTCGTTCATCACGCATCTTCAGAGGTTCGCACTGTGACATGCTGCTTCTGTACCGACTTTGTCGCTCTTGGTGACAGGGAGATTTATAGAAAGAAAATCAAATCCAGATGTCAATGTGGAGGTTTGGTTTATGCATTTGAGCTCACTCTTGACATATTGCATCACGTGGTTCATTGCTACTATTATCAGTATCCCTACTTTTAGTACTAGTATTATCACCATCATTGCTTCTATGACTAGAATAATACCTATATATAGAGTCATAGAGTCATCATCATCATCATCATCATTATTATTATTATTATTATGACACATGATTTTACTATAGGTCATGATCATTTCCCACAGATCTTCTCCATCTCGTCGCTTTTCGCGCGCCTTCCAAGTGGACCAGGCAGGCACGTTCCGGGATGCCAGAAGAGGCCGTCGCTCCCATGGAAGTCACACCAGTGACCCCCTCAGAGATAGGCATTTGGAAAAGGGCATTCATGGAACTCGTGGGTTCATCAGTATCAGCAATGTATATATATATATATAATATATATATAATATCTATATTATTAAAATAATATATACTATTAGAATTATATATATATACTATTAAAATTATGTGTATATATACATATATATATGTATATTATGCATATGTACATGTATATTTGTCTATATATGTAATTATATACATAAACATAATCATAAACATCGTATGTCATGACTTGACAGCACTACATGTGTGGACAAAAGTCCGGGGTTCTGAAGCGTCCCTTTACAGGGTTGGCTGCAGCTGGCCCTTGAGGCTACTCCAACGCCAAGTGACATCCTGACCAACGTCACTGATGCACTGCGGGCAACTGCAGATGAGTGGATCAGCCGGGAACCGCGGAGAGTTTTGCAGCGCTTTCCTTCAGGAGGGTTCTGACAAAAAGGTACACCCCAGATAGATGCCATTTTAGTGGAAAGAATCATTGATACATAAACCATCAAATTGGAGGGTACATACCCTATTTTCATACAGCCATTTTTCCCGGGAAATACGATGGTGAAGTACCCAAAGCGAGTCAATCCATGGATGTCCTCACTTTTGAGCCATACCCACATGATTGGTTATGCAAATCATCCATGTGTGTGAGTCCACAAGGCAGCCTGAACAGTGTTGGCCAGAACTGGTTCATGAAGGCGCCATATTGGGAAGGATACAGCTGGTGATCACCATAGGTGGGCATTGGAGTGAGACCTCCAAAAGTTATGACTGAACATGAAGCATTAGACTTAGGTCTGAACTTCCTCAATCTGTAGTCTAAGAAGGAGTCTGGCGGTTTATGAATGAGTCAACAGCTTTGTCTCTACATTTTTTCAATGGTGTGTAGCTGTAGCTCTTGATATTCCAACCAACTTGGAAGAGTTCGTTCCACTTTTGGCGAATCTTGAACTGGCGATGGGTCACAGCAACCCGTCCGACACTTGGATCGATGAGTGGTTTTGACGCCCCAACCAAGCCTACTTTCTGTGCCATTTCTCAACCCGACAAGAATGCCAGGCTGAACAGTCCGGCCCTCAAGACGCTGCTCTTATATTTGGAGGTCTATGGTTCCAGGCTGCCCAAACATGCCAATGATTGGTTGAGATCAGTTGAGATATGTTGATTTACCACGAGGGGCTGAGTTGAAGGCGCTGATATCACCCAAAAAATCGAGGGTTGGTGGACTCTGGACATGGTGCCGCAGCTCAAAAAAACCGGTGGCATCGTTGAGTCCATTCCATTTCCAGCTGCGGAGGTTTCAGATGCAGGGAGCTGTACCTGGCTGGATCATGCTGGATCTTTTTTGAGGGTCATCCACTCTTGCACGAGCTCCAAGTGAAGTAGGCTGCTTGGCCGAGGCGAAACCCGGAGTACAGCAAAGGCCACTGAGGGAAGGGCGCAGGGGGGTTGGATTGATGGAAGCAAGGTGAACTGGTGGCCACCTGGGACGGGGCGTACATATGATGAATGAAGTGGAGGTTGGCGATATTTCAATATATTTCATACATCCATCTTGGATGATTGCAGTAGGGTGTAGCGACTGATATCTCCTTGGATCCTTCTCTTGAACTTCCGTGAGGAGATGAGCTGGTGCTGCAGTCTGGAGCTCGGGTTGATGGGATATTTAAACACGCCTGATATTTCAGGCCACAGAAGTCTCCGAGGTTTCCATTTGAATTCTGATACGGCTGATGCGTGGATGAACCGTTGTTCTTTTGGTTGGAAGCCTCGATGTTGTCCCGGAAGACTACTTAACATCTCTAGTAGATAGATCCTCAGGACATAGGTATGTCTCAAAATTCGGGTACCAGTCGGCCCACAAACTTGGTCAACAGTAGGATTATATGACAATACAATACTAACTAAACTAAACTAAACAATATGAATAATTTCGGGTTTCGTTTCATTCATTTTGAGCCATACCCATATTCTCTACCCCGCATAGAAACATCAGAATCCAGTCTGAGTAGTGCAGCTACCAGTACTTCTGTTGCGCTTGAGGTCCTTGAAAGAGATGGGTTATGCAGAAGAAGCCATTAATGCGAAGGTCCTGAAGCAATGCAGGCAGAAGCCACACCGCTAAAGGGTACCGAGGTCATACTTCTGTGATAGCCAGTCTATTTGGGTGTATCTCAAAATGAGGGATACCACGAAAATGGCAATTTAATGGGAAAATTGAGTGGATCTAGATCTGGATAAACCAGTGATGATAAACCCTTGGATAAAATGGCACTCCATTTTCAGACTGCCCCGTGGTTCCATGGTCAGGCAGTTTAGTTTAGCTGATATTGCCTCGGACGACCGTTTCTACGTCGAGCTGGACAAGCTCGTGTGCCCAGTTAGTACCATTTGCCTGTGGGTCACCATGTGGTAAGTCGAGACCCTCCAAAATCATCCAAATCTGTTGGTTGACTGGTCAATCATAGTTGAGTAATGTAATCTTTTGACCACGCAGTATTTATCAATCACTGCGGTCCTGGTGCATTGTCAAACCTTTAAGATCCAAGGCAATATGCCAAGCACAGGGCAGCGTCCGGTGCACCCAGAGTCATGGCAAGTGGAAAACAGTTGATGGAGCTTGCTGAAAGATGCTGAAACTGTAGGGATTGGATGATTGGATGTGATTGGAATCATCGAGAATCCCTATGTTTTTTTTTTTAAAGAATTCCTATAACTGTCATAAATCATGCATAATTTCTGTGTCCCCGGTGACCGGCAACATCATGGAGATCAGGTTGGAAGCCAACCACAAGGTCCTTGTGACGCCTGTGGCAGCGCCCATGGTGGCGGCGCCGGTGGGTTATGCCAAGAGCCCCGGATATGCGAAGCCACAGCCTCAGTTGATGCCAGGGTTGATGGCTTCAGATGGGTACTGCTGGCTCCTGGTCAAAATGAAA